ATAGTTTGACTGAAATAATACAATCCAGGTATACGTATTTTTTTGCTTAGGCTTGTCTCATAGCCCTAAGAAACATCTACCCATCAATAGATCTGTTTCTGCGGACAGGTAATTTAAGTTACATACGTAATTACACGCTGATGAACTGTGAGCGAGTGTGGTTTTACGCTGCTTTTAGCATTATTCCAGCAATATCTCGGCGGGGACACCAGAAATGGGCTTCACACATTGTACCCATGTGGGGAATCAAACCCGGGTGCGTGACGAACTCTAACCACTAGTTTACCCCATCGCCCCAAACTGTAAAGTGAATGAGTTTCAAAGAACAAGCCTATTGTATGTAACTTGAAAACATCTGGAATAGGCATTATAAAATGTCAGGACATGCTCGCCATGGAGGAAATATCCATAGTTGCCGTAACACCCAGGAAAGTGGGACTGTTTGGTGAAGGACTTCAACGGCTCATCAGACTCGGCAGGAAATGCATGATCACGTGGAATCTAAAGACAAAGCTGTTCTGGTCGTTTCTAGACACGCCAATAATTAATAATCAAAATAAGTTCATTGCCCTATGATTGGTGATGTAAAAGCTGGTATCCAAATAGTTGCTATTCATCTTTCTTTTATAAGTTTGATTTAGTCACGAATGTTTTCTTTCAGTTTGCAAAATCATACATTAACCAATAAATTGTAAAATATTTGCATATTCACCTCCTGAGGCCAGGCATATTACATCAAAGACAAAGCGTGTACCCTAATGCAGGTATACACCCGAAATGAGCATTCAAAAACGACTTTCTGGACCATCGTTATACGACACTTTGTTACCTCTTGTTATCTAGATCAAAACACGCAGCTTAAGCCTGAATGTGCTCAATACAAGCAATACCAGGTGGACAGCTTCCCACATGTCCTAGAAATCAAACAATTGTAGCAGAATGTAAATATTGTGTATTTTAAACTTAAGTATATAATTTAGTTAAGCAATATAACAACACTTTAAATTAACACAGCACTCTACTAATCCCTTGGTTATGTTATGTAACCATTGGCTTCTATGTTTCTTCAGACTCCTGGTCCAGCCACGGCTTGGCCTGTGATTGATTTGCTATTGTTTCTACAGCATGTGACCAGATCTGGAGTTTTATGTACCCCAACATTCTTTTTTCTGGTCACTGCTACAATTTCAACTCTGACTGCTTTATCACAGCACTGCACTTATTACGGTAAGCTACTTTAGATGTCTTTGTATGTATATTATTATAAAGGAGGTTAGGATATGATGTTTTAGTCTAGTTAGTTTATTATTTTAATTATATGTCTGAAATATATTATATGTTGTAATATCACAGAGCTACAGATAACTTTTTGGGTCATTGAGTTATGTACTCGCTTGTGTTCATCTCAATTGGGTATCCTAATTTTCCTTTGAGTAACTAAATAAATTGTACTCACCTCACTCAAACACAATTGGGTATTTTGCCGTTTTCCATTAATTTTAAAAATATAAAAAGTTTAAATGTTAGTGTTTAAATGTTACATTTGATCTGTAATATCAGAAACGATATGAAAGGCTGCAAGTTGTCAAGTTCATGTCCTGAAATAGAACCTCTCAGAATGCCTGAGCTATTTTATCTATCCACCGGTATGCACGCTAAGATTTGACATTTTCGTGTATACGCATGTAAGATCACATTTATTGAGTATTTACCAAAACTCAAGCGTACTTGCACGCAACAGACTTAATAGGAATTGAGTTTTCACATAAATATTTGCGTAATTTATGTAGTAGCGTTAGGTTGTAGTTGGTGTAGTGACAAGAACCACAAAGCCACTGGGGTGTGAGGCGATGGACATTTATTACAAGAATGTAATAAACAAACGCTTTAGCCTGAAACATGGTAAAATAACAATGTAAGTTTATCCAATCAATAATTGACACGAATCACCATAAACATGTACACATGTGACAGATGTTACATAATATACAATGATAAATACAATTGAAATAACAATGATAACAACACACCAGGTTGGTATGACCTGAGCTCCTGCATTCAATGCATAGGTGACACTGCTGGTGTTTACGTCATCTGCAGGATGAGTGAGTGAGTGAGTTTAGTTTTACGCCGCTTTTAGCAATATTCCAGCTATATCATGGCGGGGGACACCAGAAATGGGCTTCACATATTGTACCCATGAGGGGAATCGAACCCGGGTCTTCGGCATCTGCAGGATGAATAAATACTATGTGCAGATGATATTTACAACAAATGATTAAAAGAATAACTACGATAAAAGCTACATACAACCACATCTAGCCACACATACGCACATACATACACACACGCACTCTTTTTAGGGTAGCTATAATAATTCTAATAGTAATAATGTGTTAATGTAATAGGAATATGGAAAGTAAGATTATTGCTAAATATTATACTTAGATGAAATATAATTAATGATTATATGTAATGCTATAAATATACAATATAACACTTACACAACTCACTGTACTGTGAGTCAAAACGTAACAATAACCTAACTCACTGTACTGTGAGCTAAACTTAAACTATAAAAAACAGTATAACTCACTCTAATGCGAGTTATAACCTACACTTATAGCAATGCCATAACTCACTATACTGTGAGTTACCACCACATAAAATATTTACACATAGTAGAAAGTGGATACTGAGATTAAACATGCTTTAAACTATAGCCAATACTTACTGACTGAGTGAGTTTGGTTTTACACCGCTTTTAGCAATATTCTAGCAATATTCCAGCAACATCACGGCGGGGGACACCAGAAATGGGCTTCACACCTATAGCCAATATAACCATCAACTATCACACACAAAACCACAATAAATATATACACAAGACTAGAGATTACTAACCTTATATACATGGGAAAAACACAGTCCAGATCACCAAGATCTCGATCCTAGAGAATATGGACTAAACCGTAACATGCGCGATGACAACCACATAAGATACTGACTAGATGAAATTAACCTTTAAATACCTAATACCTTATACGCTTGGCTGAACAGAGAACAATAGAACCTACACACTAGCCTAAGCAAGGGACATGCTTCAGAAGGGATTGCAAGGAGAAAAGCATGCAGTGCAAATGAGTATTGCTGAAATAGATTACATTTAAGATTAGATTGATGTTTAGAAGGGCTAAGGGTGTGATATAACATTGTTGAATATAGAATTATTGATAAAATGATTAGACTTAGGTTATTTAATGAGATTGTATATATCTCATCATAATATGACACACAACTTTAAGGGATTCACATGTTTATTATATTTACAACTATATACAATACAAAGTTGAATCTGCCACATTTACGCAGATACGCAGCTTATCTGTAGCTCTGTATCATCTACATGATATCATGTAAATATTTTCTATACTTATATGTGTGTGCGTGTGTGCGTGCGCGCGCGCGCGCGCGTGTGTAATATATATTGTATTTAGCTGTTATTTTATTATTAGGTCTTTGAAGCACTCATTTGCCACAGGTTGTTTTCACTGTGGAGTACCTGCGTCCCTGAGACGAGGTTAGTATTTGTGTGTCAAGGAATTGCATTGGTAATTATGTTCTTAATGTTACCTTACATATCAGATTTTCATATGTACGACTATAATTTGTAATATACGCTTATATAATATACTTATGTAGCGGGGCGTGGAGTCATCTCATAGATGACATCCTTACCTTGTCAGCTTGCTGACGGGGTTAACCGCTTTGGTCATGTGGACAAGGCGTCCGAATTCTGATCAGAAGGTCCGGGGTTCGAATCCCAGCACGGGAGTCGGAAATTTTATGGCCGCTACACTTAGATTGAGTAACCCTTGTGGTGTACAGAAAATGTTAAATGTAATTATATGTTTACTATATACTTGCTGTATACATGTAATTTGAGATATGTTTATATTTTGTTTCAAGGGTTTTATCACCATATCCAGGGTGAGGGATCCTCACATCATCCCAGACAATAAATCCCTGAACCCTTTATAGGTATTCGTCTGTACTCAGTTCTGACGTGATACTGCTAGAAATAGATTAGCACCTGAACATACCATAGACACAATCAGTGTCTTACACTGGTTTAACGTTAAAGATAAACATATTCAAGAATTGGTCAATTTAAACAAAATCATAAAACCACTACAAGTAGCTGAGCTATTTATGAATATGTTTTCAGAATATCAAACATGAATGTATGTTGTTCCTTGTTCCTGCTTTAAGCAGGGGTCACATCTTACGGACCTGCAAGTAGTTGACTGTAGTGGGGGATGAACGTAGTAGATCGTAGTAGACCCGTATTTGACCTTAGTTAAACGTAGTTAGATGTATTCAATCATAGTTCAACATAGATCATCGTAGTTATGGCCGTACTTTGAACTTCAGCAAACCCATGATTTGCCTGTGGTTAGAAAAAAAATTCAACATGTTCAAAATATCTCTATGGTTAGCTTGAATTCCCAGACCCTACTTTTACCATAGTGTGAATGTGGTTGATCCTAGTTCTCCCTAGTAGACGTAACTGACCCTACAGCACCCTTGAGTTGACCATCCGTGGTAACATGGCACTACGGTCAAACTGCAGTTTACTATGTTAATCACTATGATCCAGCAGAGCATCGTTCATGACAGTAAGATGTGACCGCGCCTTAAACAGGGAGGCAAAACATACCAGAAAAAAATAATCACCTTTCATCTTCGTGTGTGGGGCAGCCGGGTAGCCTAGTGGCCACAGTGTTTGTTTGTATTGCACAAGGCCAAGGTTCAATTCCCTACCTGGGTACAGGTTGTGAAGGCTGATGCCCCTGCCATGATATTGCTGGACGACTGGAGCAGGTCTCCTGCTTCACACACAAGTGTTTGGCAAGGATATACATGCAAGCCTGGTCCACTCACAACCATAGCTGGAATATTCTTTATTGCAATGGTTGAACAGCACAAAAACACTAATCATCATGTCATGATTTATTTACAAAATTCAATTTACATGATACACTATATTAACAAGTGGAGTTTTCTGTCTTCTGTCTCCAGCACACCTCATGTCTGCAGTGGTGGCCATTTTAACTTGACCTTCCCATGTAGTGCCTCCGGTAGCCACTCAAGGTAAGCCTCCAACAGATCTGAAACATTCCACAGGTAGACATCCATCCAAGTGTACACGTCACAGCATCAAACATTCATGTACTCATGTTCACACATGAATGGGTTCTGGGTTGAAATGCTGTCATCAAACTTGACGTCATGGTGTAGTAGCATAAAATATGACATATCTGACTGATAGATAACATTGTAACATCTGAGCTGGCAGACAAACAAAGCTGGAATAAAGTCATTTCACGTCCTGAAGCAGCTGATAGGTGAGTAGGTAGGTAAACATGTATCACTACAACTACATTGTCTACACATGGTCTTGTCACTCTGCTCTGTCAGCCACCCATGTAGGAAACATGAATACTTACAGCCTATGACATGTCCTGTATCATACAAAACTTGGGATCAAAAACAAAACGATGAGCAAATTTTGATCTTGCGTCACAATGAAGACAAAAACCATGAAAGACTTACAGTTGGGCTTGCTTCTCCAGACAGTGGTGAGAGCAGACAGGCAGTCCACACCCTCCTCCACAAGGGCAGACAGCAGCGTCTCCGTCCTCGGCTGCAGTCTATATGCAACACACAATCATGTTTATGCCATAGGTCAGATTATTCATGTAGTTTTGTGAGGGAAGAGCAGATCAAAGTGTGCATCAGTGTTGGTGCACATACTCCTGACCTGCAGCTCTGATGCCTGAGATACCAGCCTGTGGGAAGGTTTACTTTATAACTAATATATTTAGACATCTGTTGCAGAATGTGGGGAGGTCTTTGTAAACATTTAAGACTTTAAGATTTATGTTTCACACACAACTGCAGATTTGGAAATTGTTATAGTTACAAGACAATGGGGCAGGTGAGTGGGAGCTCAGGTGAGTTAGTGGATGGGGTTAGGGTGGGTTAGTGGGTGTTATGGATGGTCAGTGGGAGCTCAGGTGAGTTAGTGGATGGGGTTAGGGTGGGTTAGTGGGTGTTATGGTTGGTTAGTGGGAGCTCAGGTGAGTTAGAAGATGGGGTGAGGGTGGGTTAGTGGGTGTTATGGATGGTCAGTGGGAGCTCAGGTGAGTTAGTAGATGGGGTTAGGGTGGGTTAGTGGGTGTTATGGATGGTTAGTGAGAGCTCAGGTGAGTTAGTGGATGGGGTTAGGGTGGGTTAGTGGATGTTAAGGTTGGTTAGTGGGAGCTCAGGTGAGTTAGTGGATCGGGTTAGGGTGGGTTAGTGGGTGTTAAGGTTGGTTAGTGGGAGCTCAGGTGAGTTAGTGGATCGGGTTAGGGTGGGTTAGTGGGTGTTTAGGTTCGTTAGTGGGAGCTCAGGTGAGTTAGTGGATGGAGTTGGCGTGGGTTAGTGGGTGTTGAGGTTGGTTAGTGGGAGCTCAGGTGAGTTAGTGGATGGAGTTGGCGTGGGTTAGTGGGTGTTGAGGTTGGTTAGTGGGAGCTCAGGTGAGTTAGTGGATCGGGTTAGGGTGGGTTAGTGGGTGTTTAGGTTCGTTAGTGGGAGCTCAGGTGAGTTAGTGGATGGAGTTAAGTGGGTTAGTGGGTGTTGAGGTTGGTTAGTGGGAGCTCAGGTGAGTTAGTGGATGGAGTTGGCGTGGGTTAGTGGGTGTTGAGGTTGGTTAGTGGGAGCTCAGGTGAGTTAGTGGATCGGGTTAGGGTGGGTTAGTGGGTGTTAAGGTTGGTTAGTGGGAGCTCACGTGAGTTAGTGGATCGGGTTAGGGTGGGTTAGTGGGTGTTAAGGTTGGTTAGTGGGAGCTCACGTGAGTTAGTGGATCGGGTTAGGGTGGGTTAGTGGGTGTTCAAGTGGCTTAGTTTCTTTTAGGGTGGGTCAGTGAGTGTTAAAGTTGGTCAGTGGGAGCTCAGGTGATTTAGTGGATGGTCAGTGTTAGGGGTGTTAAGATTGGTAAGTGGGTGATAAGGTGGATTAGTGGATAGAAGAGTCTGTTAGGGTGGGTGTGAAGGTGAGTTAGTTAATGGAAGAATGAGTTGCTGGCACCTGGATGAGTTAGTGGATGGTGGTGTGAGTTATCAGGTAGTTAGTAGGTTGTGGGGTGGATTAGTGGGTGGTAGAATGAGTTAATGGTGTCAGTGGTTGGTTGAATCATTGGGTCGTATAGTGTGTTGGTAGGTGGACTAGTGTTAGCAGTTGGTAGAGTGAATTAGTGGGTGGTAGAGTGAGTTAGTGGTGGTAGAGTGAGTTAGTGGTGGTAGAGTGAGTTAGTGGTGGTAGAGTGAGTTAGTGGTGTTAGTGGTGGTAGAGTGAGTTAGTGGTGGTAGAGTGAGTTAGTGGTGGTAGAGTGAGTTAGTGGTGGTAGAGTGAGTTAGTGGTGGTAGAGTGAGTTAGTGGTGGTAGAGTGAGTTAGTGGTGGTAGAGTGAGTTAGTGGTGGTAGAGTGAGTTAGTGGTGGTAGAGTGAGTTCTTGGTTTATTGAGTGATAGTAGGTGCTAGAGTTAGTAGAGTTAGTTTGTGGGTAGTAGAATCAGTTAGTGGGTGGCAGAGTGTGGTAGGTGGTAGAGTCAGTTAGAGGAATCCCTACAAGGACAGGGTATTCATGATTAATCATAGATGCTGTAATTCCTCTGTAGAATTCACACTGTATCCTCACCTGGCCCAGGACTTCACCATGGTCGACGGTGTGGACAGCAGTGTAGGGACAAACTGCTTCATCTGTGGCACCACCTGACCCTCCAGCAGGAAGCGGGCGAACCACTTGTATCGGTCAAGGCCGGCGGGGTAAGACAGTGGTACTGCTGGCACTGGCCAGTTGGCTCGACCTGTGGACCAACATGGACACAGGTGAGTCGGGACTTTAATTATATTTTCAAACCTGTGGACTCATAAACCAGTTTCAGGAAAAAGGCAATCAAGTGTCAGAGGGATGTGAGATTGCCTGTCAGCCAACTTGGATTACTAGCTCAATCTTACAGCTGAAACCCACTGTTCGAGGCAGTGTAGACCCAAGCGTCCCTGGACATTGACTGGTGCCAAGATACCCTTGTCGAAGTGGGTGTGAGTTAATCTTGTGAAAACTTATGGATCATTCTTCAAGCTACTACTTCATCAAGTAAGAAGCATTTGGAAATTATGTAACATATATATTATCAGTAACGGTATACCATGTTTTCTGAATTTCTATGGTTTAACTGGACATGAAGCCCACCTCTAGAGATCTGTACATACACACTTGCCCAACAGCTATCGTATAACATATTATCAAATACTCTGTGATACATAACTGTTATGGATTGTATTAATCAACATGTATTAGTGTACAATAATGCACATATAAACTTATACACTTGTACAAACAGATTATTTTCCTACAATCTCACATTCATCAACTTACCATAGCTGCTGGTCATGTGACAGAACACCTCGCCAGTCTGGGCCTTGTAGCAGGGTGGAGGGTCGTCTTGGGGCTTGGAGAACACGCAGTAGGAGGGGGCAAACACAGGCAGCCACTCACACTCAACAGCCACGATACCTGCGCAGGTACACAGTGAATGTATACTACAGTCAGGCTACATAGAACTTGATACAGTTGAAAACTATTGAGGAAGGTTGGACACCACTGATACGAATGTCTTATGTTATATTAAGGCCTATATCAAACAACCATCAGTTTTTCCTGCCAGATCTCAACTACTGACCAACAGACATGACATAGTATGAAGATGTAGGGTAATACCAAGTGAGTGACTTTTACGCCACTTTTAGCAATATTCCTGCAATATCATGACGGGGTACACCAGAAATGGGCTTCACACAATGTAACCATGTGGGGATGTGGGGATCGAACTCAGGTCTTCGGCGAATGCTTTATCCACTAGGCTACCCCACCGCCCTGTGAAATACCAAGTATTCTACAGCTAACATACTGGGTGTTTAGGGGCTGGAAATACCAAGTATTCTACAGCTAACATACTGGGTGTTTAGGGGCTGGAAATACCAAGTATTCTACAGCTAACATACTGGGTGTTTAGGGGCTGGAAATACCAAGTATTCTACAGCTAACATACTGGGTGTTTAGGGGCTGGAAATACCAAGTATTCTACAGCTAACATACTGGGTGTTTAGGGGCTGGAAATACCAAGTATTCTACAGCTAACATACTGGGTGTTTAGGGGGAAATACCAAGCATTCTACAGCTAACATACTGAGGGGCTGGAAATACCAAGTATTCTACAGCTAACATACTGGGTGTTTAGGGGCTGGAAATACCAAGTATTATACAAACCTGTAGAGGTTATGAATTCTTTGAAGAAAGTCCTCCTTGGGGTACTTATAAGCATTAAAATGTCCATTTTGAAACCCTCGACAGTTGTAACTATATTTCAATAAAAATATTTACAAAGCGAAAAAACACGTTCTGCGTTATGAGACCACCCTACAGGGCCCCAGCCAGAAGTCCTCCTTACCGGCATTAAAATGAGCAGGTAACTCTAGCCGACAACCTAAGCACCTCACTTTTCATGCTGAGCGGATCAGACAGAATGAGGGGAAGGATGGGTGGCCGTACCCCAAGGAGGACTTTCTTCAAAGAATTCATAACCTCTACAGGTTTGTATAATTCTTTTCAGAAGAAGTCCTCCTTGGGGTACTTATAAGCATAAAACAGACTCCCAAAGATCAGAAAAACCGGGGTGGCATTCTGTCTGACACACTGGTCGAGCATTGATAGCGTGGTACAGCCGTATGAAAATAGAAATCACACTTACCCAGTCACGTGTCCGCCAATGTCAATCAAAGGCGTGACTAAAGGCGAGACCCTGGGAGGTCAAAGCTTAGTGCCCATTGGTCAATCGGTACACACCCCAAGATAAAACTACACCTCCCATCCTGATTGGTGGAAGTGAGTAAAACTAGGGACTCGCCAAAACAAACTACTGTCCATAGCACACGCTAGCCAAGCGGGGAAAAATGGAAAATAGAAGCCAAAGGCACCGATACCAAAGAGCGAAAAAAAAACCGCCACCACATACCTTCACCAGTGCAAAATAGGGAGAATATACCCGACACCAGTATAAAACAATGAGTAAATCAGCCACAAGGCTTACTTTCGGCCTGGTGCTACTCTGTCCACTGTGGAGAATCGTCTGGCCAAACCGAGCAGCTCCGCGCGAATGTTTGTCCAGCTGATAATGGCGAATGAGCGTGCTCGATTAGGCTCCAAATAGCCGCCAGAGCATATCTCCTCAATGGGCAGAGCAGCCGCTGCGCTTTGGGCGTGGCAACTGCTCGAACCGAATGAGCCTTTAAACCCTCTGGGGAGTCATACCCTTGTGTATGTAACCCATACATATTGCCGACCACGATCCACCTCGATATGGTCTGTGTGGTAACTGGGTGACCTACTTTACGCCCGTAACAGCAGAATAACTGCTTATCTTTCTGGATTGACTGTGTTCTCTTGACATCGTCTTAAGTGTCTTCACGTACATCCAACACATGTACTCTGCTTTTTGCGCTACCAGACGAAGCAGGAAGCGTAAAGGCAGGTAAATCAATAGGGCGGTGACATGAAGCGGCTTTATCGATTTTTAGGCGGTAGGAATCAGGTAGCGAATACTTACCCTATCCTTATGAAAAGCGGTAAGCTCGGGTCTGAAGACATAGCATGAATGTCTCCCACCCGTCTACCTGAAGTAATGGCCACCAAAATGCGCTTTCCAACTTAACAGTTGAAGCGACAATCCCGACCTATCGTAGAAGAAAGGACTAGATAGCCAATCTAAAGCGATGGACAGCTCCATGGTGGACTGGTCCGACCGGACGACGGGACGCCTCTGTCCACACCTGCTAAGAAGCTGAACCAGAGGGTGTTGTCCTAAAAGGGCACCCTCGGTAGGAATGTGGAAAGCTGAAATAGCTGTGGAGTAGCCTCGGATAGTAGGCGGCGGCTAGGCGGCTTCTAACGAGACTGTAAAAACTCCAAAACCGACTACAGTCGAAGAAAGGGATCAAGTATCCCTCTGTTTCCACACCAGCGCGCATAACAGGCCCATCTATCCTCATACTGTAAGTTAGTCGAATCCCTCCAGCGAAGCCAGAATTGTGTCTGCAACTGGTGCAGGAATTCCGCTTCGCCGGGCTGACTCCTGACAGTGGCCAAGCCACCCACTGGATCCATGGATCCGGGTGTGGCTGGCCTTCCTGGAATAGGAGGTCGGTCGCATCGGTAACAGCACGGAGGCTGTACTAGCGATCTGAGTATTACAGGGAACCAGCGTTGAGGCGACCACAGAGGTGCAAGAAGCACAAGTAGTCGCGCTGGTTGGGTGGCTAGCTGCGATAGGACTCTGGGAATCAGAGGTATCGGTGGGAGCGCCCACAGGACCCTGTCCGTCCAATCTAGCTGGAAGGCATCGGGCGATGGCTCCCGGATCCGGGATCCTGGGAGCAAAACACCGAGTCTGGTTACGTCACCCCAGAGGCAAACAGATCCACCTGGAGCGACCGAACAACTGGGAGATAGCCCGAATATCTCGGTCGAGTAACCACTTTCGTGAGGGGCCAGGATCTGGCGTGAGAGTGCATCTGCGCGTCGTTGTCCTCCCGGAGATACACAGGTAATACCGTGTGTTGAACCCGGTCGCACCACAGCAGAAACTGCCACGCCTCCTGGAGGAGTGGCGGAGACACCGTACCGCCCTGCTTCAGGATATAGGACATCGCCGTTTGATTGTCCATTTCTAGGCGAACCACACGGTTCGAACCTGTTCCATGAAGCGTTGAATACCCGTCGGACCGCTCTCAATTCTAACTGCGTTGATGTGTAAAGGTTAGCCTCGTTCCGGGACCAAAGTCCGGAAGCTGTGAGTCCCCTAGGACCCCCACCCTGTGAGGGCGTCCGTCTGAATCGTGGCGTAGGCACGGGGTCTCAGAGGATACCCTGACTAGATTCCGGTGTCGGTCCACCACCTGAGGTGAGGATGAAGCCACTCTGGAGTTAGGAGGATAGTCTCCGTAACTCCCGAGTGTGACCACAGCTGTGCTAGCAGCTTGCTGAATTGGCGCATCCTCAGGCAGCGCGCCAAACTACATCCACCGTCGCCGCCATGTTGCCTAGCAACTGAAGCCATCGCGGCGTGCTGAGGCCCTGGGGGACTGAAGGAATTGTACAACAACCCGTTGTACTTTGGAAATCGCGGTCCTGAGACAGAGACTAAGCCCTGCTGTGTCTCGAATCTAAGCCCCAAGAAAACCAGATCCTGGGATGGAACCAGCTCGGTTTCTTGAGGTTGATGACCCAACCCAACCTGGTGAGAATATCCATCACTGTCTGTGTGGATTCCCGACTCAAGTGAGTGGAAAGCCCTGAGCAGCCAGTCGTCCAGATGCGGGTAACAAAGTTGCCCTGTGCCCTGGCGACTTGAGCTAACACTAGCATGAGTTTTGTGAACACCCTTGGCCCGTGGAGATGCGAAGGGGAGCACCGCGAAACTGATAGCACCTCCGTCGAAGGAAAACCGGAGGTATTTCCTGAACTCGGGGTGCATGGGTACATGAAGGTACGCGTCCTTGAGGTCGATTGACGTAAGCCAATCCCCTGCCTCCACAGATGAGATCACCGACCGTAGTGTCTCCATCTTGAAGGACGGTACCTCTAGCAAACTGTTCAGACCCTTTAAATTGAGAATGGGTCTGAACCCTCCGTCCTTCTTGGTAACCAGGAAATAGGTTGAGTAAACCCCTAAATTTTCCTGGCCCCTCGGAACCACCTCGATGGCTGCCTTGTCCAGCAACGCCTGGACCTCGGCACGGAGAACATCGGCCTTTTCCTGAGAGTTCGGCACTGGCGTGCAACGAATCCCGGAGAAAGGAGGAGGGCCTCGCTTCCACTGTGGCATATGCCCATCCCTGAGTGTGGACAGGACCCAGGGATTTGATGTGGCTTTCTCCCATTCGAAGGAAGAGGTAGCCGGCCCCTACAGGGGCGTCGGGTAGAGACAGTGAATCCCGGCAGTCGGCAGTGTAACAACTGCTTGTGCGGGACCAACAAGGGCTCGGAGGAATGCTTACTGGGAAGCCGGGGCCGACTTCCCCTTCCTCTGAAAATGCTGCTGAGAGGCGGCAGCCTTGCCCCTACCTCTACCCTTGCCCTTGCCTCTACGTGCCTGAAGTGGAGCCGTCCACCTCGGCGCTTCCTTTCCTGAAGAGGAAGGGTAAGCTGAGGCAGGGCGGAAGGCGAGGCGCGAGCAGTGAGGGTTGTTCCAGTAAGGGCTTAGAGTCCTTAAACTGGCTAACCGCCTCCAGCGGCCTCCTGACCACTGTCAATGCCCGGGAACAGGGTTGAGCCCATCCTGAGCGGCAAAGACAATAGCGCCTGCTGTGTAGCGGTGAGTATCTGGCCACAGACAGCCACAACCGGCGGAGGCCCATGACCGCAGACATCATCTGGCTAAGCGCCGCGACCGAATGGCGTCGGCGTGCCAGATGTGAATGCACCTCCGTGAGCTGCCTGCATGCGCGTGGGCGGCGACCGTCGTCGTCCACGCCCTCCTGGTCCACCAGCTTCCTCTGCAGGGCGAGAGGTATGCTGAGTGGACTGAAACCTTTAGGTGTTGAGCGGCGTTACGGTATTGTTCCTCAAAGGAGCGATGGGCCGACTTCAACACCTGGTTGTTAGAAGTAAAGGGAGGCGACGCCCGACCCTGGCGAACGACCGGCCAGCGTGGCTATGGCCAGATGACCCTCCCAGGGCGACTGAGGCATAAATACACTTTCGTCTACCACCGGGGGAAGTGCGTAAAAGCCCCCTCTCCCATCAGGTAGCGCCCGGTTCAGCTCCGGAAGATCGGCGTGACCGGCCTCCTGAGAGGAGAGGGTTAATAACCTCACTGATCAGTGGCGGTAAAATCGCCAAGTGGGCCTCGGCGACCCGACCGCGAACAAAGCGCCTCCCCGGAGGCGAAACTCCAGCGAAGTCGGGGTGCGTCTGGCGGCCGCGACCACCTGCGGCAAAAGGGCCTTAATCGTTCCCTTACTTGCCGCGGGGCGGACCAGCGAAGGAACCTTCCCCGGCGTCTCATGCCCCGTCGTCATCCATGGCTTCCTCCTCCGCTCCCCGACAGCGAACTCGGTATCCAGAGTTAAGCCTCGAGAACCGCGGAAGTCGGTTCCACAGACAAAGATAGGGGAGCCATAAGAGCCAAAGGCGCCTGGCCCGACCGACCCTAGGCTCGAGGTTGAGCCAGGGTGCCGAGGACCCAGGGAAGAGCCTGCGAGACAGGATTCCCGAAGGAGCGTAAGGCCCGAGTCGACCCGGTAGCACCGGCTCGGGAAAACCCAGCTTGTGAGTTGGTAGCAAGCGGTGCGAGACCGTTATCCAACAGCTAGTACTCTGCGCTGAGCGGGCGAAGCTTCGGGCCAGCCACAGGCGCACCAGCAGAGGGTCACCAGAGCCAAGGCTCAAGGTAGCGACCCCTCGAGGGGTAGAACCGTCCCGGACGGAGCCGAGGCAGGGAACCCCGACAGAGCGACCTCGGGCACCGCCAACTCGAGCGGAAGCCGATCTCCTCACGGAGACCGGACATCGCGTCCGAGATCAGCGAGCGAACCGAAGTCATCTGTTGCTGCAATATGGATGTTAAATCATTAATACATACGGGTGCAGATTCTGATTGAGTGGTGGAAGTGGAGGGGATAGGGGAAGAAGGTTTAACCGCCGTCTTGGCCCGCTTACCCCCACCCCCACTAGAAGAAGAAGAACTCTTCTTACTTTTAGCCACTTTAGATGGTGGGTCCTGTGCCCATAAGTCCCCCCCCGCCTGCAGCAGATTTGTATAAAACAAAAAGTCTGCGGAACGACGCTTCGTCGTCTTTGGTGAGAAAATCTGGCAGTTCTCACACGATTGATCATCATGATGTTCAACAGCCAAACAACGTAGGCACACATCGTGCGAATCCTGAGGTGGCAACATTGCCGCACATGCCACGCACGGGTGAAACTGTAACAAACAGAACCATTTATCATGGAAACTGATGTACAGTCTAAAAAACACACATATATGCAACACACGTAAAATATAATACGCACGGGCGATAAACCCTATGTGAAAAGCTAAGGCAGGTTTACCCTTTAACATATCATGAACAAGGGTGAAAATGCAAGCTTCCTGCGTAACATATATAGCGTAAATGTTATATGAAAAAACTTACCCCAACTCACCTTTTGCTGAAAGTGTAAACGTTAGGCAAGCCTACCATAGTAATAATAAGAAATTACCCTCCCCCCTAGCGATGTAACTTAAAAAAGTTACAACCGTAGGACAGAAGGAAGCCAAACCGACCGCCATCTTGCCTGCCACGCATGGCTGGAAAATGGAGCCTGTCCGACTAAGTTACAACAATCATGAATGAAAAAATCAACCTACAATTCCACTAACGCCCGTGCGAGAGAAAAGAGGAACCATACATACATTAGTTGATTCTGTAACACTCATTTTGATTTCCTTTTCACAATGAACTACACGCCGCGTCTGTCTTCTGAGGCGACAGCATGAAAAGTGAGGTCGCGAGGTTGTCGGCTAGAGTTACCTGCTCTTGCGGTGGGGGGGGGCCCCCGCTGGGGAACCTGTAGAAAATGGTCTCATAGCATAGAGCGTGTTTTTAACGTTTTGTAAATATTTTTATTGAAATATAGTTACAACTGTAAGATGTAGGTTTCAAAATGGACATTTTAATGCTTATAAGTACCCCAAGGAGGACTTCTTCTGAAAAAGATTGTCCCTTATGATAAATATGTTGTTCCATCAGATATATACATGTACTGTTACTAGACTTTATGCTAGTCCACAAGATAATTTGCATTCAAACACATCTTTGACTTTTCCCATGTTAAATTATTTTTCAGGATTTGGCAGTTGTTTGTCAGTCATACTTATCTTGAAACTGTCAAACTAATTCACGATTGGATTGATTTTCCTTAATGTATAGTCAAGTCGCTAGGAGGGTCCAAATCTGCATCAAAGATGCCCAATTATCAACCCATGATGATACAGAATGGTATTAAATTGAATATTAAAATTGTTCAAATATTGTCATCATCTTTTAAGGTACAATGTATAACCAAAATGTTAACAAGATACACCCTGCTTTATGACACCACATGGCCGCCACAGTCCAAGATACACCCTGCTTTATGACACCACATGGCCACCACAGTCCAAGATACACCCTGCTTTATGACACCACATGGCCGCCACAGTCCAAGATACACCCTGCTTTATGACACCACATGGCACCCTGCTTTACAGTCCAAGATACACCCTGCTTTATGACACCACATGGCCGCCACAGTCCAAGATACACCCTGCTTTATGACACCACATGGCCGCCACAGTCCAAGATACACCCTGCTTTATGACACCACATGGCCGCCACAGTCCAAGATACACCCTGCTTTATGACACCACATGGCTGGCACCCTGCTTTATGACACCACATGGCCGCCACAGTCCAAGATACACCCTGCTTTATGACACAGTCCAAGATACACCCTGCTTTATGACACCACATGCTGCCAGTCCAAGATACCACAGTCCAAGATACACCCTGCTTTATGACACCACATGGCCGCCACAGTCCAAGATACACCCTGCTTTATGACACCACATGGCGCCACAGTCCAAGATACACCCTGCTTTATGACACCACATGGCGCCACAGTCCAAGATACACCCTGCTTTATGACACCACATCCAAGGCTTTATGCCACAGTCCAAGATACACCCTGCTTTATGACACCACATGGCCGCCACAGTCCAAGATACACCCTGCTTTATGACACCACATGGCACCACATGGCCACAGTCCAAGATACACCCTGCTTTATGACACCACATGGCGCCACAGTCCAAGATACACCCTGCTTTATGACACCACATGGCCACAGTCCAAGATACACACAGTCCAAGATACACCACATGGCTGCCACAGTCCAAGATACACCCTGCTTTATGACACCACATGGCCACCACAGTCCAAGATACACCCTGCTTTATGACACCACATGGCCGCCACAGTCCAAGATACACCCTGCTTTATGACACCACATGGCCGCCACAGTCCAAGATACACCCTGCTTTATGACACCACATGGCCGCCACAGTCCAAGATACACCCTGCTTTATGACACCACATGCTTTACACCTGCTTTATGACACCACATGGCACCACAGTCCAAGATACACCCTGCTTTATGACACCACATGGCACCACATGGCAGCCCACAGTCCAAGATACACACCACATGGCCTGCTTTTATGACACCACATGGCCGCCACAGTCCAAGATACACCCTTTATGACTTCCAAGATATGACACCACATGGCGCCACAGTCCAAGATACACCCTGCTTTATGACACCACATGGCCCACAGTCCAAGATACACCCTGCTTTATGACACCACATGGCCGCCACAGTCCAAGATACACCCTGCTTTATGACACCACATGGCGCCACAGTCCAAGATACACCCTGCTTTATGACACCACATGGCCGCCACAGTCCAAGATACACCCTGCTTTATGACACCACATGGCTGCCACAGTCCAAGATACACCCTGCTTTATGACACCACATGGCCGCCACAGTCCAAGATACACCCTGCTTTATGACACCACATGGCCGCCACAGTCCAAGATACACCCTGCTTTATGACACCACATGGCTGCCACAGTCCAAGATACACCCTGCTTTATGACACCACATGGCCGCCACAGTCCAAGATACACCCTGCTTTATGACACCACATGGCCCACAGTCCAAGATACACCCTGCTTTATGACACCACATACACCCTGCTTTATGACACCACATGGCCGCCACAGTCCAAGATACACCCTGCTTTATGACACCACATGGCTGCCACAGTCCAAGATACACCCTGCTTTATGACACCACATGGCCGCCACAGTCCAAGATACACCCTGCTTTATGACACCACATGGCTTTATGACACCACATGGCCACAGTCCAAGATACACCCTGCTTTATGACACCACATGGCTGCCACAGTCCAAGATACCACAGTCCAAGATTATGACACCACATGGCTGCCACAGTCCAAGATACACCCTGCTTTATGACACCACATGGCCGCCACAGTCCAAGATACACCCTGCTTTATGACACCACATGGCCGCCACAGTCCAAGATACACCCTGCTTTATGACACCACATGGCCTCCACAGTCCAAGATACACCCTGCTTTATGACACCACATGGCCGCCACAGTCAAAGATACACCCTGCTTTATGACACCACATGGCCGCCACAGTCCACCAGATTAGTAGGCACACAATGCATGTACATGCTGTGCCATGTCTGTGCCATAGAGCAGGCTCCTGGCAGTACACACCTATTACCTTGGTCAATGGATACACAAAAAATACATTTTTACATCCTAGAAGACCATACAACCCAGACATCACATTTCCCAGTGACTGTAACCATAGCAAGTGACTGTTTTATATATATATATATATATATGTGTGTCATGTCCTCACTCACATAGTAAGCATGCTTCAGCTTCTTCTCATCCTCTGTCGCCCCCGGAGGTGGTGCAGGGGCTCGTCTGAAACATGGCGGCATGGAATGATTACATTAGTTAAGACAAAAGATGGACCTTGCATGTGATTTCAAAAATATATTATTGTATGGAGAAATTTTTGATGAGGTCAACAATATTACTGATATTGTCTTGGTGAAATGGAAGGACCTGAAGCTTGGACCTGACAAACAAGTGGTGAGGAATGTCAGGGGAATTCACCATCAGTCTCAGATTTAAGGCCTCTAACATCCTGGCTTATATGGCATGTAATCCCAGCAAGTATGAAACATGTGACATACTGGGGTATACAGGAATTATTCCCAGCTTGCATAAAACATCTGACATCCACAGGTATGTGGTACTTCAGCTTTACATGTAAGAAGCCTCTAACATCCCTAAAAGCATGTCAAAGTGAAAGTAAGAAAGTATCTCAAATATTGGTGATCATTCTGAACTGCAGTGATGTATTACCTGGCCACGTGATCAGCAAGCCCGGATAATACAATCTGACGAAGTAGCTTGGCCTGAAGGTCATTTGGTGGGATCAGCTTCGGGTCAACACACAGGTCAGCCTCCGGGATGACTCCATTGACTGAAAAATGTAGTTTGGATTTCTGTAAAATCCAGAAACATAACAGCAAAAAGTAGAGTCTAGATATGTCTGAACACTCATTAACCCCAGTAGATTCATCCCATTCACCCTGTGTACAATCTGCAGCCACGACCAGCAGATCCAGGCATTGCAAAGGGTCATCACTCACTGCCAAACAGTTTTCACAATGTCATGTAACTGACTGTATCAATTTTCTCAATAACCTATATTTTGAAAGTACACACCTGTATTTGTGAGTTGTGCTCGTAGTTTTCTAATCTCCTTCATGGCCTTGAAGCGGATACCGAATTTGTGACAGAAGTCTTGGGAGAATCCCTCATATTCACATGATCCAACGGCCTTTAAGAGGATCATCAGGTCGCCAAGCAACATCGAGTTACCCTGGAAAAAGTCAACAAAAGTCAAACGGCATACAACTTAGCATCCACTTACAACATCACATAGATCTGTAAAACAAAGGTCATAAACAATGTGCTACTGCAGACAACATCTTTTCAGCTTTCAAATATATTGCAAGAATAATGTGGGCAAACTAATATTTAATTTCTAACTGACAAGAAGCTAAATATCTCAACTTTTCTACTTTTCAAACATTATTTTTTTCAAAACTAACATCTCCCCCTCAACATGTCTACCCTCATTATTATCTCCACCTTCATTATCTCCACCACCCTCATTGCCTCCTCAGTAACTCCTCCAACCTCACCCAATTCATTATCTCCTTATTATCTCCACCGCCTTCATTATGTCCTCAATCTTCATTATCTCCTAGACCTTGATTAACTCCTCCACCTGTATTATCTCCACCCTCATTATCTCCACCCTCATTATCTCCACCACCCTCATTATCCCTCCACCTTCATTATCTCCACCACCCTCATTATCCCTCCACCTTCATTATCTCCACCACCCTCATTATCCCCTAGACCATCACTATCTCTTCCAAACAATAATCATATTCAAACCCACCCTACCACTCACCTGCCCTGCCCACATCTTCTTGATCTGCATCGTCCGTGACAGCCTCTGCTTCATGTCCTCCTTCTGTGGAAATCAAGCCATTCATACCATATCAGTTCTCCCGATGTAGTGGTTGTGTCCAGTCAAAGGGAGGGACTGAGTTGAGGTTTCAACAGTATTAAGGAAAAGACATTTATAAAAGTCATAAAACTTCAAAAGCCTTCCACTTTGACATAACAAGTGATCACAAGTATTGTGCTGACAGGGACATAATCAGGTACTGATTCCAACACGGTCAGCAGAGCCTGACAATGGTAAGGAAGAGTCTTGCACATAGCCTCAGGGGGACATGTACAATGTGTTTACATGTGACACATATGATGATTAAAATGAGATATTGTTGAGGTAACAGTCACTGTATTCACGTCCAGTTTCCTGAGGATGTCACTGTTGTACAGTTTCCTCTTACCTCTGTGTCTGTAGACGAGGCAGGTTGTATCTCCATGAAGACCTCGTCGACGGAGAGGGCTGACACGATGGCGATGACGTAAGGTAGCAGGTTGTGCTGGTGTCCTAGTGACAACATCTTGCCATACCGTGGCGACACAGGGAAACACGCCATTGCTCGACCGACTGGCGTTATCTTCGATGGGGTATCTGATAACCACTTACACTTTAGTGTTTGATCAAAAGGATTTGTTGTTATTAAAGAGATCTTTGCTGCCACTACTGATTAAAGTTTCTATACTAATATCTCCTGACAAGATTTTTATTCAAAATTACATTTGATTTGGTTCAACATGTGATCACGTCAGCTTTGGCTCAATAATTCAGAAACATTCAGATTAGCTCAATATACAGTATAAAACATTTCAGATTATGTAAACATTGGTTCTCGACTAAGATCAGAAATAATGGAAATAATAGTTCACCAATGCTGAAAACCTTGACGTCTGTAAGGGGATGAACTCTTGGTGCACATCAAGGGAGACAATCAACAGTGAGAGGGCAATGTATGTTGGAAAATGTATTGGTATAAGTCAGAGCCAAATTTACCCCTTGTTCATAGTGGTTCTTGAGAACAAGATTAGATATTTCATTTAAAAACATACAACAAAATTGCACTGATATGAAAGAGATAAGATGTCACTCATAAGAGTGAGTGAGTATGGTTTTACTTGACATTCAGCAATATTTCAGCAATATCATAGCAGGGAACACCAGAAATGGGCTTCACACCTCTTCCCCTTGAGGGGAATCGAACCTGGGTCTTCACTGTGAAGAGCAAAGCTTTAACCGCAAGGCTTCCCCATCGCCCTTCATCACCATCAGACTTCTGCATACAATATAGAGAAGGTTATCAACAGCAAGAGGCAGTGTCTGGGTTACCATCAGTGACTTGAACAACATCAATCATTCAGGAATTACAATGAACCTTCCTACCTTTGTCCTTATCTCTGTAGGACTTGGGTTTCTGTGGTGGTGTCAGCGCCCCCAGGGTCATCAACAGTTTCTCCCCAGCCTGATACGGGAGATAACCCAAACATGAACCAGCAAGTAGCAACAGGGTATAGGATCATAGGTGATGAGCCAGGACTAAACTGTCAACATTTCCTGGTCACAGGACCAGATAAACAGCCATGTTGGAAAAGAAAAGCCAAACAGTTGACATGTGAATTATTTTGTTCTGGACCTTTGTCTCAGTATCATAGTGAACCAGGTTGAAAGTACTCATATTTTACTAGAATGTTAAATCAATTTAGATTTTCAGAAAATACTTTGTATTTCATCTCTAAAAGTGCCATGACACACTGTCAATACCAGCCAGGATCTGGAATCACCACAAAGACAAAATGAAAGTACTCAGAAGCTGCTAGTTGCTAGGCCACAATAAATACATCATCAGGTTTACACCACATTGGTCTTTTTTCTAAAGTGAGGCAGTAGGCATTACATTTCTTATACATTTATTGTGTGAACAAAACATATTCAAGGGATCTGTGTACAGTAACTGTCTTCAGAAATGATTCACAGTATGCATGAATTGTTAGCTGGACACAATGTATTTCATCACGTCAAGAGGCAAAGTCATACTGTCTGCTTCATCTGTATATATGAATGAACAATCAAATGATACAATACAAAAGGTATACTTGATACCATTTACCAACATTCATTAATTTCCCAACCATAAACCTCATGTTTCCCGGAGTTCTTGAAACTGTCATACTCCTGTATGTACTAACATATTACAGTGTAAACCCTGACATGGAGTTAATGACCCTACCTTTATTTGTTCCACATCCGGGGAAGTGGGGAACGGAAAGTTGGCTACTCTGTCAATGTTCATGTCCTGTAATGAGAGAACAGCATGTATTGAAAATAAAATCATACTCTGTCAGGGTTATAGCAGGTATAACCTATTTCTCCTATGTGTATAAAAGTAGAGCCACACCGTTGTAGCTAACCTACATGAGAAGACAATAGTTCCTAAGTCAGACGCACACTTAACAACAACTGCTGTAAGCACAGACATGTTTGTGCAACTTTAAGTACCAAAATCCAATAAACAGTCCCCATGATTTGAACAAAACATGATGTCATCATGAGTAGAATCACACATGCCACAGTTCAACCTACGCTGGCTTTCCACGAAGACGTTTACACAGCCAAAAAGCATTAAGAGAATGTTCAAGTTTAATCATATTGTAAAAAGAAAGAAGAGGAATGGCCATGTTTACAACATGGCTGCCTTGGACCAAACACATCATGACATACGCTCAGGGTACTTTTAGTCAGGTGAGCTAAAATTAAGACTGGATGCAACCAGTGTCCACCGACAGTCCCTTTGGAAACAAATAATAGAGTATGGATGTTGGAATGATTGAACTAATGAAATCAGAGGATTTAAGATTTATCTGATGCTTTTGTTAAATAACAGCAATATTCCAACAATCCATGGTATATGTTTTCACTCCGTCACCCAGTGATTCCACCCAGGAAAGCCCCCTCTATAACAAGGCACAACACACATCTTGTGATGTATATGCTGCTGGGACAGTACTTGCCCTGTGCATCTCAGTTAATGTGTCACCGAGAGTCCTCTCAGGATTCTCAAATGTACGGAACAAATTAGACTATGTCTTACTATGCACACCCTTTATTCTCTCCTGATTCCAAAATCCCCTCACGAATCTTACCTTCATTTGAAGAATAAGATCATCTACTGGACGCCGAGAAATTTCAGGAGGAGCAAATTTCTCAAAATCATCATTGAAGACTGCAGAGGAATACAACCTGAGAGACAGGTAAACATGTCATGTGTTGACAACTTCATATCATAAACACATACAATGGCATGCATTACAGGCAAAATATACCAGGGTGTAGTTCCCGGGCAACATTACAAACTCTGCTTGTTGGTCACTGGACTACAAATGACTACAATCAACACGGCTTCCTGCTTTCAAGTGTTCAAGACGCTCACACAGTACCTATAGCAATGACCTGCACCAACACGCCCAGCACGACCTGCTCTCTGATTGGCTGCTGCTTTAGATGTCCACGTGACCCGAAATGTTGACACGCCAGTAACCTTGTCATAAAACTTGGTTTTTTGTCTGAATAAAAGATGGAGAAAACGTTTTCAAACACATTCCTGCTCTTAAATTACACTTGTCTTCAGTGGCCATCTAAGGGAGGTGATTGTCCTCCACAAAGTCAATGAAGGGCTACGACTGTCCATAGCCTGTTCCACAAAGTCCATGAAGGGCTACGATTGTCCATATCCCTGTTCTACAGTCACACAGTGCTCTCTGGTCTCTACTGTTTTGTCTGAAGCCTGATTCCACAAAAGCAAATATATTATCAGGTTGACATTATTACCACATCGGAAAAAGGGGAGCTTTAATTAATATAAGAAAATATGGTAAGCATTAACATATTTATTACACTAAGTAGAGCTTTATCGACTGTACGTGGGTGTCCACAAACAGCCATAATCCCAGAGTGCTGGAATGAAGAGACACTACACTAAAGAATCCATGATGGTCATGACACCTACCTTTCCTGTGTCCACCACATACTTGATGTTGGGGATGGTGAGTGACGTTTCAGCAACATTGGTGGCGACCACACACAGCCGACATCCTTCAGGGGGAGGATCAAACACCTGAGGAGCAGGTAATCTTATTGTAACATCCAGTTAAAATACCCATCCATAAACATGTAATGTTTCACCTTAGGCAAGTGAGTTTGTTCAAAATTGTCTCAGTTCACCCAGCAGGAAAATGGGTACCCGGTGGAAAAAAGTCATATGACTATAACCTTCTAGCGCCTAATAGGCAGCTTGGGTTATCCGGGGTAATAATGTGCTGTGCCTTGACTGTTAGCGCTATGAGCATACCTAGTGTGGAGTTTGGCGCTATATAAATGGACACATTATTATTATTAATGTTTAATGACTATTCCCCTGGTATCCTTTCAAGTCCACAACTGGCAAGGGTGGCATCATAATAAGTTGCCTCCCTTAGATGAGTCAGGTACCAATGGTTACGAGTACTGATTGTGTTCCTAGAACAACAGTTGACAGTGTAATCAGTGAGCACACCATGGGTCCATGATGATACACTAGCAGCCAGACCACAGGTCAGGACTGTCTGACAATGACCATCACTAGACTCTTCCAACTGGATAGCTCTCTAGTTGCCTATAGAGACATTGATGTGGTGACCTTGACCTCCTCACCTTGACCTGCTTGTCACTGGAGAGAAGGGAGTACAGGGGCAGAACGTACATTGGGTCAGGAGAACTCCCGGCGTCAGCTTCCTGGAACACAGACACACACCATCATCAGTTGGGATAACTCTCAGTCATGATAGCCAGAAGGGAGACTGTTGACATGGTAACATCAAACCAGCTCTCATGAACATAAGAATAGTCTTTGCTGTATGTCTGGTTGACGCCATAGAGAATACAAAGTCCCACTAGCAGTATTACGATGGGGAGTGAGTGGACTGACCTGGTCAGAGAGATCCTCTACATCGTCCAGCCGAACCTCCTCCTCAGAGTCCGGCTCTCCATATTCCACCTCCTCATCTTCTGGCACCACCGAGTAGCTGACAAAGCAAACATACCAAATAATTTACACTTCAGTCTGGTATCTTCCAACTGTACAACACCTTCTGATACAGAATTAACACTACATGTGTTTTATTATAAATAATTTGAAATATTCAGAAAGTTAACTAAACTGAAAAATGTTGAGCTGATTGATTTCATGTGTAGTACAATGGTTTATGGTTATTATGACTCACACCTGTCAGCAACCGTTTCACCTACAGTCCATATTCTGGACACCAAGCTTTTTTGGCACTTGAGCCCAATAAAGTCTGCAAAAACTGATGCTTTCAGATTGTATCCCTGTCAGGTTTCTTAGTTCAACATAACTTATACGGTAACATTGGATCCCAAAATAACTGATACTGTTAGCTTGTAACCCCATGGGTTCTTTGGGTCAACCCAGTTGATACTTAAAAGGATTTATTATTATTATAGGATATTATAGCGCACATATCCACGTAACCAGTACATGCGCTGGAGTGTTCCCTTGATCAACGGATGTTTATTTTTCTGGAATTATTTTAACCTACTCAACTCCCTGGGGAGTATTCAACTCATGGTGCCTGTTAGGTGCAGCAACTTATCACTCAGCCTCATCCTCACAAGGTACCCAATTGCAGCTGGGTGGACTAATTTGTCCACTGATACTGCACTTTACAATACCCTCAACAAGATGTCTGCATGTGTCTTTTAAGTGTACAGGGTTGTGTACTGCACACTAGGGGTTGTGACAATACTCTAAGAGCCTGCAAGTAATGCTAGCTCCAAGGTTTTTACACCCAGTCACAAGTGGGGATCGATCCAGGTACCTTTCACTTACTAGCGCAGCGCCTTAGACAGCTTGCCCACCATGCCCAACGGATCTGAGTGACTTACTTGTCTAGATTAACTTTCGGCAGGTTCACTTTTTCTTTTGTTTTCTTATTTTCTTTCTTCTGCTTTCGAAGTTCTGCTTTGGTTGGTTTCTTCTGCACAGCTGTAACAAAAACTACATGACTGCTGAACATCGTAACACAATTTGTGTTCTAAGCAGCTTAAATAATCTTCATGTTTCTTGAATAGTGCTATCTATGCAAACAACTAGCAACCTAGCACAATCCCAAGCCCACCATCATGGTTGAGTAAGAGCCATAATAAGTTTCATCTTTTCAGTCTAATTCAAGGCTGAATCAAGACTACAGTTTAAAATATCACAAAAATATATTTTGAGACCAGCTATATACAGTGGAAGCCCTCTAAAACCGGCCGGTATAGAGGGCGTGCCAGTTTAGAGAACTTTTCCTTTTTCAAACTGAGAATGATATTTCGCAGTTAAGGACTTCTTCACTAGGCGCATATCCATCAATCAAAGTCAAGACGCAGGACTTAAACTTGTCAACATCACTATGGCACTGGCACTTTCACCACTCACTTTGAACTGTTTGATGTCGTATCGTGTCTTCCAGTGTGCCAGCCGACCATCTGATGCCTTAAACCGTTGACATTTAATTCTGAAGCAAACTGAATAGCTTTCTCGTTCAAAATAGGGCCAGAAATTAATTTTTAATACAAGTGACATGTGTCACTCACCAATTTACCTCACCTACTTAGGCCTAATCCCTATACATACTCCTTTCATCAGGCAACATCAATTAGCTTAATGTTGATGTGTCCACTGTGTTGTTAATACACGTTCAGCCAATCAGCAGGAGACCCAGAGACCGGATGCCAGTTTAGAGAAGGTTAATTATGAACAGTCAATTGGGCGGTCTATGTTGTGCCGAAATACAGAATAGACTGACGCTGGATTAGAGGGCGTGTAAATGATCATAAATAGACTAGCTTCTGCCGGGACCAAATTCTAGTGTCGATATTGAGACCATGCTGGATTGGAGGGCTGCCGGTTTAGAGGGCTTCCACTGTATGTATTAAATTTTGTTACATACTCATTGTAAGGTTAACAATATAGGGCTATATATATCCCTCAAACTGAGATTGACCAATCAGAGAGCAGAATTACTAACCCCATACGAGATGATATATCATCAGTTAATATCCACAATGGTTGTTACTGACATAATATGAGACCATATTAGTAACAACCTTCTTTGGATTTTCAGCAGCCACCTCAGCCCTTGTCATGTCACTAACCTGAGCACTGCATTATGCATGAAGGATAGTCTCCCTCAATAACTGTATCTACAGGATAACGGACTCAGTTGTCCTCCAATACACTCACCTTCTCCAGCCGCATAAGGAAACGTGTTGCGGAGCTTCTTGCACAGTGTATGTACTTCTTGTTGCCCTGTCACAAACACCAAAATTCCCCCACTTGGCAGCTGCCGGTGAATCTTGCATACCTGGCAACAAACAAAACCTTCGTTAGGAAATCCCCACACCTGTGCCCCGACCTGGTGCTTGTTACCATAGATGAACATTGAGGTTAATGTTTGACTTGACTAGACATAACACACAACCAAGGAGGTTAATGTTTGACATATACACTTGTCACAACAGACAGTCAAACAGACTAATATTTGACTTCTACAAGTGTCACAACATACAATTAACCATGTACACTTGTCACAACATACAATCAACCATGTACACTTGTCACAACATACAATCAACCATGTACACTTGTCACAACATACAATCAACCAGGTACACTCAGAGGCCCAGATAAGCTGCGTATCCGGGTAAAATACGCATATAAAATTTCCAATTACGCATTGAAAAATAATTGTTGCATACCAATTACGCATTTTAAATGTTAGATACGCAAAAAGTTTAAAACAAATGCGTACGGAATGCATTTATAAAAATCGCTTGCGTAATGGAAAAGACATCGATTGCTATCAAGTTGTACTGTTAGTATAGGACAAGTGTTGTACTGTCAGTATAGGATGAATGATTTTTTATGAAATCATTTCCATTATATTTAAGTTGGTTTTGATTAGGTATGACATAAGGCAGAACATACCTGCTTAGTAAACTTACTCAATGACATAATACTTAGGTGAGTAAAATGACTGAAATACGCGCATATTTGAAAGCAACGGAAAATGAAATACCCACTCAACCTTCATAATACCGACACCAAAAAAATACAGTGGGTACAGTACCCACATGAGCTAAATCTTATCTGGAGCTCTGTACACTTGTCACAACAGACATCCAAACATGTTACTATTGCATGTCCTCATATTCTGACGGCTTGGTCTGTCTGGCCCAAAACTGATCATTTATAACACTTGAACATTCCGGACATTTCATTTATCAAAATTTAGTTTTACACCGCACTCTCAGCAATATTCCAGCTATATGGCGGCGGTCTGTAAATAATCAAGTCTGGACCAGACAATCCAGTGATCAACAGCATGAGCATCGATCTGCGCAATTGGGAACCGATGACATGTGTCAAACAAGCCAGCGAGCCTGACCACCCGATCCCGTTACGACAAGCATGGGTTAATGAAGATTCATTCTAACCCGGACCTACACGGGTCTCACTGCCTTAGAAAGAAGTCAGATCAAACATGGTTGGTTTAAGGTATCATCTCATCCACAATGAATTTATCAGTCAGTGAGTTTACTTCTTAACTTCCTTATGTTAGAAGTAACAAAACCAACTGTTTCAACAACATGTACAATAGTCCATCATATTACTTGTTGATACCTGTGTTTCACGTAAGGTACCCACCTTCCTGTATGCATCGGCAAGGTAGTCATCCAGTGGTGTTCGTTTGTTGAAATGTATCGTCACAGGAAACTGTCTCGACTCAACCTGGGCAAAATGAGAAAAGGAAGCATGGGAAAGTGTGTGATTCATCTGCTGTGACAAATCATTTATTCTGTAATTTTGGGAAGGGGTTTGGGTTAAAATAACTAGTTTTTCTCTCTTTTGCACTTGAAACTTTTGGAATCATTGCCAAAATGAATGAAACATACTGATGTTTCTGATTTGATGTAAAACCTCCTAAGTCCATGACACAAGATGACCTTGTACTATATGTTCGTGCTGCCTTTGTCTATAGTTCCAGATGAAATCAGCCTGTCAAACACTTGCTTATTTCAAATTTGCACTAATTCTTTTTGAACCTAGAAAATCACACTGTATGACAGTCTTACTCAAGGCCAAAGTGAATAAGGAAAATGAATCAGTCCTAAGCTTTAGTCTCCTACCTTGATGACTGGTGGTGTGACCTTGAACAGCCTCTTGTTTTCAGTGAAGTCCTCGACTCGCAGTGTGGCAGACATGATGATCAGCTTCAGCGGGTTCCCTCTCTGAAACCATGTGACATTCAAACATCTGTCAGGTACAATACATGCAGCAGATCCTTAATCCTACATTTCAAATCAAAGAAAAGCTGTGTGAGACATGGATATTAGAAGAGTAGAGAAGTGCAGATTTAACCTTTGTTCAGAGAGAGAGAGTGAAAGAGAGGGGGAGAAAAAGAGGGATGGAGGGAGAGAGAGAGACAGAGGGGGAGAGAGGGAGGCAGAGAGGGGGAGGGAGAGGGGAGAGAGAGAGAGAAATATAACTTATAACTTGATGTAAGTTCATAAGTTTATTACATACATACCATAACATTAATTATAGACAGTAAGTATTGTGTTTGAGCACTATATTATGTCTGTTTCATTATCAAGCATTACACCAACCTCATCACATAAGCCTAATCAAAGTAGGACAGTGAATCTCATTCACAGAAGAATTATGACACGTCAAAAATATGTTAATTTGTTACAGTCTGAAATTAGGAAATGGCTTCAAAATTAGTATTGGTAGTAGACAAGTCAGGCCGAATACCTTCTCTCTGAGGGGTACTATCCTTGACAGCAAGCCAATGAGGATGTCTGTGAACACACTCCTCTCGTGGGCCTCATCTACTATAATCACACTGTACTTGCTCAGCAAGAAGTCCTGTTAAAAAGCATGAACACAAAACATGATTCATGTACACAGTGAAGAGAGTAAGTCCAGATTCCTACTGAACACAACAGGACAGCAAAGTGCAGGAGGAATCACCTTGCAGCTAAGCATGCGTTCTATGCATAAGACTGCATATTTGTTACTTGCTAACCACAATTCCTGGAGCGTTTCTGGAAAGTCTTGGGTGTGTGCAGTCAAATATTATAAACATTAGGTGAACAAACATATGGCAGCAAACGGTAAACAAAAAAGGAAAATAAATAAATTTATGTCTCTATGTACCTTCTGAACTTCTTTAAGGAGAACACCATCAGTCTGGAACTTTATTACAGTGTCATCTGTAACATTGCCCTCATACCGAATCTGGTACGACACTTCTCTGCCAAAGATAAATACGATGTTAATGAGGTGATTAACAATGGTCAACTTTCCTTTGTGATCATAAGGATTAATATTGAAAATTTTAACTATAAATTGTATATTTACAGACTTATCCTATCTCACGGTATGCACTTCTCTCTCTTGATTCGACACTGAGTGGAACGATGTAACTTTTTTCTCCCTAGCCTCTCTTGTCCATCCGCCCAAGCACTCCATGCTACTCTCATTATAAGACAGCTTCCTAGTTGCCATGCAAAGCATGCGGCATGCTCCACTAGCTACCCACGTGACTATCTCAGAATCATCATTCTCATTCTTGGAGCCACTGGAATATCAATCTTGGAGAAACTGCATAGCGGGGAGGTTGGGCAGGAATCCTTCGCGTGAGATAGGATAAGTATATAAATATACAATTTATAGTTAAAATGTTCAAATTTTTAAACTTATCCTTTCTCATGGCGGGACGCAGATACCCTACGTCTTGACAGCGTGAACAGGAGAACTGTGTAGACTGGAAACAACCATAGATAGGGATGCACAAGGGAGGCCTGTTACTACTAGCGCAACTCCTATGCTTGTAACGAGTTCCCCTGAACTCCTTACTTAGCACAACGTCTCCCAGGGAGATGGGAGCTCCCGAGCGATGTGGTGTTCAGCTGCAACCTCCGAAGAACAGAAGGACGCAGCTCAGCGAGAAAGGATGTCACTTTGCCGCGATTTTCAAGGTACCCCCATAAATTAAAGTCATAGACAATAATCGGGACAGCCCCTGCTTCGAGAGAAGACCCCCACAGACACCAACCAGGGGCGGGTGAAAAAGAAGCACAACTCAGAAAACTTGCAGTTTTAACATTCAGTTCCAGTCAACATAAAATTGACCCTCACTCCTTTACATAAGCTTAGTCAAAGGATGAGCCTGGCAACTTCGGAGTCGGAACGAAATCCACTGGAATTCGGGAGTGACACACTTCACTGATGTAATTGCTTCGAAAAGTAGAGGTCAGGAAACGTGAAATGTCGAACCCTTCCACATTGTGATACAGAATCGTGCTCCAGATTCGTCGAACCACCGAGGCGGTAGTATCTCCGTGTCTTAGTATAAAACTAAGTGAAGTAGTTCTAACCCAAAAGCAATCAAAACATAAGGCAGACATTCAGTTCAGACATATATTCAGGAAAATACAGGGAAACAGCAACCTCATGGGATCATCCCCTATCTGCGTTGTTGGGCCGTAGACAGCTGTTGTGCGAGAACAAGGGGTCCAAACTGGTACAGGCCTTGGACATCCTTGACTGAGAGGTCCCGAAGGTAGTGGGACGAGAAGACCTAGTCAGATTGCCAAAAGCATTCTTCCATAATGGCGTGGAGAGAACAGTTACTATGCAGAGCCATAGTAGACACTAAAACCCGTGTCTCATGTGGATTGGAAGCTGTCGGGGGTGGTAACCCAGCAAAGGTATAAGCCCGTAAGATGGTGGCCCTCATCCTGAAGGATAAGGTGGTGTGAGACACTTCCGCCCTGGATGTTGAGGACAACAGAATGAAGAGGAGACGGTAGCGATTTTTAGAAGCAGCAAGGAAAATCTTCAAAGCCCTTACAGGGCAAAGCTGCTGGTCTTCATTGTCATGCGGCCCAAGGATCGTGGACAACGGTGGGATGGTAAAAGTACGATCAGGTTGTCCCGGCATCTGATTCTTCGCTACGAAATCCCAGCAGACTTTGCCATGCTTCTTCCGTTGGAACTGGACGTTAACATCCAAAGCATGGAGTTCAGAAATCCAAGCAGCTGTAGCCAAAGCCACAAGGAAGAAAGTCTTGAAGGAGATCTTCTCAAAGTCCTTCTGAGCTAGGGGTTCATAATCCATCGAGGCCAAATGACGCAGCACCACAGATAAATCCCATGCAGGAAGTCTAAATTTCGTAGACTGATCAGCCAACTTTAAGGACCAGGGCAAATACTGAAGCTGAGGAACCGTAGAGACTTTAGAGCCTGTGGTGGTAGCCAGGACCGAGTTGATCGCAGCAAGGTAAGTGGCCAAAGTGGAACCCTTAAGCTTCTTAGGCGACCGCAAATTTGAGGTGACGTAGAAATTGGAGATGTACTGCATCTGGACTTGCAATGTCCCTCAAAACACTTCCACTTCTCATCATAAAGTGAGCGGGTGGAACTCTGTTGAGCAGAGATGTGATGGCCACAGCCACTCTCCGAGAATACCCCTTGGCGATTAAGGACTTCTGCAGATGCACCAAACATGCAGAGGCAGGGTGCGAAGGGATACGTGGCGCCGATCCAAGGGAGGGTGTAACAGTTGTCCCGATCGGGAAGAGGAACTGGGTTTAGGTCTGCGAGCTGTGCGAGATCGACAAACCAACTCCTGACTGGCCAGTAAGGCGCAACCAAAAGCAGTAGAATCTGTCTGGTCGACCGGAGTTTCAGGATTACTCTGGGTAGAAGAGCTGGAGGGGGGAAGGCGTAAGCCTGGGCGTCGAGATCCCACGCTAGTTGGTCTGGTATCAGCGAGACAAACTTCGGGAGCTTATGATTGAACTGCATGGCAAATAGGTCCACTTGGGGCCTTGATAACGGGAAGACTAGCTCCCGAAAGATCTGTGGGTTCAATTGCCACTCCATGGGAGCCGGCTGATCGGAACGGGACAGCGCATCTGAAATGACATTCCTGACTCTGGGAATGTGTCTGGCTCGAGTATCGATGGAAGTTGATTAGATGGAAGAAACGAAACGCCACCTCAAGAAGGTTCACTCAACCTGTCGACCCGAGATGGTTGATGTACCAGACGACCGTGGAGTTGTCTGTCTGGATCAGCAGGGAAGACCCCCGAAGTTCCGTCACCCAATGCTGAATGGCGAGAAGAACCGCCAAGAACTCGAGTTCTTTGATGTGCAATCCCCATCCTGCGGACGACCACAGCCCGGCCGTCTGATGATGAAGAAAGTGAGCCCCCCAACCTTTGAAAGACGCGTCGAACAAGTGGTGCGTTAGAATGAACGGCATCTAACAAACTCTGGCGCAAACGTTCTGTTCTACAAACCACCACTAAAGAAGAGGACGTTAGGGTTCGGGAAGACGAATCAACTCCTTGAGATTCTCTGAGACGAGATACGGCCACAGGAAGCGTTGCAACGGATGCAGTTGCAATTGTCCCCGCTGTGTAAATGCCTGTGCCGATGCCAAGAGGCCCAAAAGTTCCTGCCACTGCCGTAAGGTCCTGGCCTGCAACAGTACTAACAGAACTAGACGTTGTATTTTCAGCCATCTGTCCTGGGGGACAAAAATCAGGCCCTGATGCGTGTTGAAAGTTGCCCCGATGAATTGAAGTGTCTGGGTCGGTGTGAGTTCTGACTTCACAGCGTTTAACTGTTAACCCAGCTGCCGGAGAAGCTTCATAATGAACTCAAACTGATGTAGAAGAATGACTGGGTCTGTCTGTGCGTGAATGCAGTCGTCTATGTAACTTTCGGAACACGACCCCGTGGAGATGAAGAAACCTGGTGATCGGCTTGGAGATCCTGGTAAATAGCCACGGGGCCGTGGAAATTCCAAAAGGCAGGACGGCCCATTGATAATGGATCCTTTGGAACACAAATTGGAAGAATTTCCGAGAATCTGGATGAATGGGCACATGAAGATATGCATCCTGAAGGTCAAGGCTGACAAGAAAATCTCCTTTCTTCAGGATGGTGCGAAGCAGGATGATTGATACCATCCTGAAGTGAGGCGGGCGGTGGAGACAGTGGGCATTGAAAAGTTTCATGTTGAAAATTAGTCTTACTTTTGTGGAGATTTTCTTGGGAACCAGAAAAATGGGGGAACGGAACCCCGGAGTGCTGGGCACCTGACCGAGAGACTGGACTGCACATTTTGCTACGAGCGTACCTATGGTGGAGCGAAGAAACTAGACCTGGTCCGGGCGGCTAACTGCGATGTACTGGATGCACTGTCAGAGGCGGGTGTCCGATGACTGGAAGTTGATAGCCTTTGGAGAGGAGGTCGGTCACAAAGGGATCATCTAGGATGGTCCAATTGGGAGCGAACCTCCCTAATCTCCCGCCCACTTGTTTCCACGAGTCACTGCTTGGGTACCCCACTCCCAACCCCCGAGTCGGACTTGGGAGGACGTCTTAGCTTGGGACGACTGGCCACAAAGTGTTTGGACATCTTCATCCACCGAAGAGACAGTAGACAACGACTGGAACCCAAGGGAGTGAGCCGCCGCTAAGGAAAATCTAGGCGAAGACAGGCCGTCCTTAATCCTCTTAAGGCTTTTAAAGGCATGATCCAAGGACATAGCTAGATGAGCAATACAAGGTCGTGGTGGAAGGGTAATAGACGCCAAGTCCCCTTGTCTCATGGAGAAGGAATGCGCTTAGTCCTCCGGGTTCCGCGGCATAGGGAGACAGAGTTTCTCATCTATCCAAGCTAAGATTTGAGGTTCGTCGACAAAATCCAACCTTCCCCCTGGGGAATCCACATTTGAATGTGCCGGAGACGGAGGATCCGGTGGAACACCAGGACCACTCCCCGTCGATTGAGCAGACTGTTGCTGATTCCAAGCAGTGGTAATAGCGATCAACATCGCTGCCAGATCTGGGGGAGGAGTTGTTTCCTGCGCAGGAGTCCAGGAATCTGGTACAATCTGAGTAGAGAGACACGAGGAGGCAGGAGCCCTACGATAGGCAGCGGTCGATCATGTAGGAGATCTAGGTTGATGGGTCGAATGCACAGAACTGGAAGTCCCATGATGATGGGAAGACACAGTCCGAGGAAGTGACTTCGAGCGGAGAACTGATCTCAACGAAGTTGTTGAAGGCGTGCGTTTAGTTGAATGTGAACGAGTCGAAGAGTGGCATCTCGGTGGTGAACTAGACCTACCAGGTCTATTCAGTGAACAAATCCGAAGAATAATAGGAGACTGGTCCAAACGACTCGGTAAAAGCCGCGTCAGTGCTGAGGAGATGTGACTGTAAGAGCCAACAGAGTTTGGGAAGTACTCAGAGGCAGATGATCCGGGAGAAGGGCGTTCCGCTGAATACCGATTGGAGGAAAGACCTTTCGGTGAAAGTCGATTCACCACATGCCATTTCGGTGAAGTCTGATGCAAAGTATGCTGTTTTGACAAACGTTGTTTCGACAAAGTCCGTTTCGGTGAACCTGTTTGGAAGACGACCGGTCCGATGAATGTTGGTGAGTAGACTGCCGGTCTGACGAAAACTGGTTCGACGAATGCTGTTTCGGCGAAGGTAGTCGTTCCGGTGAAAGTCGAGGTGGAGGGGTGAGGTGGGGCGAGGCGCGATCCGGTGAACTGGGATTTGACAAACCGGCAGGCTTCGGCGAAGTGGAAGACCGAGGTAGCTGGACCCAGGAGACAACACTTCTATTCACCGTATGGGAAGTAGATGGTGAAGCAACCACTGGCAACCATTTTGGCGAGGTAGACCGATTCCTGTCACTGCTGGAAGAACGACAAGATCGAGAATGGCTACGGCGAATGCAATCTGGACAGTCAGGCGTAGAGACCAGCTGATTCTTGTCCGAAACAGATAAGCCTTGATAACTGGTCCGAGCAGTGAGATGCAGAGAGCGTAGTTCGAAGGTCCCGCTGTGCAGAAGTATCCTGAGGGGTGGAAGCAGTCTCGACAACCACTACCCGGGATGTGGTCCAAGACGAAGGACTCGGGCTGGAATGTTGAGAGCCAAGCAGTTTCCGAAGGTCTTCAGATAAATAAGACAAGAGTGATGACACTCTCATAAAATCCTCTTCATTCGAGGGAGGGGACTGTGACCAACGAGCAGATAAAGTAGGACGCTTAAACTTGCCTTTCTTGGTGGGACTGGGTCCGTCTAGCGAAGCTGCATAATGGGCTCTGTCAGCTACATGTCGAGCGCAAGCCCTACTGTAATCTCCAAAAGCCTCGCAAGGTAAGATCCTTGCATTTCTTGCAACGAGTTTCCCATTTACATTGTCCCACACAATCAACACATAACGCATGTGGATCACTCGCAGAGAACACCTTATTACACTGCGAACATATCTTTCTCTTTTTAGGCTGGTCAGCCTTCCCCATGTTGTAGACTAATGTTGAAAACGTTGGGTAAAGCAAAACGTTCACACTCATGTGCGACAAGAAGGAGAATGATGACTCAGAGACAGTCACGTGGGTAGCTAGTGGAGCATGCTGCATGCTTTGCATGACAACTAGGAAGCTGTCTTATAATGAGATTAGCATGGAGTGCTTGGGCGGATGGACAAGAGAGGCCTAGGGAGAAAAAAGTTACATCGTTCCACTCAGTGTCGAATCAAGAGAGAGAAGTGCATACCGTGAGATAGGATAAGTTTAAATATATACAAATATCAACATACAAATATCTACAACAGGTTACTCCTCTTCCACAGAGCGATCGTAGCGCTACAATTATAGCAAGTCTATGTACTACTATGGGAGGTACATCACCTTCATGCTACAATCGCTTCGTGGAACGACCCCTGGTAGAACAGCAGTAAACTGATTCTGTAGTGTTTCTGCTTATTGTCCGGTGTGGCTCGGTTTATGTTGTATTCTCCGGCTATTAAATAGCAGCGGAAATGTATCTGCGCATGGGCAGATAGAATGCCCCATCAAGTAAAGTGTGGGAGCTTTGAAAGCGTGCTGTTGTTTTTCTCGACATTATGAGCCTTAAATGGGTACACACTTAGTGGTAACACTTGTTCATGACCAGTTCCTCAGGGATTCCCACATTGCACAAATGTCAACAAAGAGTGCTCAGCAAAAAACATCAAAAGTCATTAGAAAAATTCCAGGTTTACCTTGATGTGAGATTCATTTCCATGGCAACACGTTTGGACATACTTATTGCAGCAACTCTCCTTGGCTCAGTGACACCAATGATACCACGGCCACTGGAAAGAAATAGGAACATGTGAGTGAATATCTTCTCTCTCAGTCAGATGTGTACCTGTGAAGGTCCAGGATAGAAATGATCTTCACTAACCCATGCTTGTCATAAGAGCCGACTAACCAGATCGGGTGGTCAGGCTCGCTGACTTGGTTGACACATGTTATCGGTTCCCCGCTGCACCGACCGATGCTCATGCTGTTGATCACTTGATTGTCTGGTCCGGACTTGATTATTTACAGACTGCCGCCATATAGCTGGAATATTGCTGAGTGCGGCGTAAAACTTAACTCACTCACTCACTCAGATGTGTAGAGGTGGAATAAGGGAGATAACTCATCATCTTGATTTTAAGAGCGAATCATAAATTATGGTTAAGACGTCAAGAAAAGAAAGTGGTTGAAAATGTCAAAGTCCTAACTATATACATGAAAATCCCCACACACTGAGAGCATCCTGCCTCATACAGAAACACATAGCTCTTGGTTATTTGTAAAATCTTAGTTCTCGGTTGGTTGTGAAATAATTTCCTACTCAACAATGCTCTACCATGTTGTCCAGTAACAGCAGTCATGGGGAACACTCCTCAAGTATTTCCAGACAACTGCACTAACTGTTGTAGCAACACTTGGAACCTGCACAGTCTGTGATCCATTTGATTTATTTAGGACTTCCTGATTCTATTGCAAGGATATCAGATCATATGTCAAGAAGTTGAAGTTACACCGATGACACCATACTATATCACTGCATCTCATGGCAGATTAGCTAATACAGCTCAAGGGCAAGGCTACACACATTAATGTCATGAGGAATGTTAGGCCAAGGATCTACTCACTGAGCGTATCCTGCCTCATAGAGGAACTGTGGCACCTGGGTGGTCTTGCCTGACCCCGTCTCTCCACAGATGATGACCACCGGGTGTTCATTAATGGCCTCCATCACAACCTGCTCCTCCGACAGTATGGGGAGCTTCAGCCGCGCCTCCTGGGGAGAAGGAGGACAGCACACTGACCATGACTTGATACTTACAGTTAAATCTGAATAAATCACATTTCAAAGAACCCGACAACAGTAACACTTGCATAATATGAGAATTACAAAGTCTTAAATAAGACAACATGATTTATATCAACAAAGTTGTCTTCAATATCAGTGAATACTGTCACCTTATCTTAACATGTTATTTCCTGTCTGTATATTCACTTGTAATGATACTATAAATAGAGGAACCTCCTTTACTCACTGAACTTTAACATCAATCCTAGCAAATAGGTATTCATGCTAATTTCTGCAGAAAACTTTTCACATTCCAAGCACAGTTTACACATGGAAAACAAAAGTTCAGACATGTCCTGACATATTATATATGAACAGGAATCTGTTTTCGGTACATTCATCTGAAGGTTGATGTTTTACCTGAACCTCTGGCCGTCTGGACAGCAGCACATGTACTGCAGGCCTCCTTTGCTGGTCTGTCTTCACTGGTGGGTCCTTCTTGCCCTCTGGACCAACACACTGTTTAGTCTCTCCTGCAGCCTTCCCACCGACATTCTTCTCCACCACAGATTCCACACCTTCTTTGTCTGACCCATTCCCAGAATCTTCCTCTCCATTTGCCGTCTCTTCCTCTTCCAGCTCCCATTCCTCATCGGTTGAAATGTCAGAAGTGTCCACAGATGACACAGATTCATTTCCTGATAACTCTTCTTCCTCCACCAGACACTTCTTCTGTTTCGTCTTCTTCCCACTTCCACTGATGGTGTTGAGCTTAACTTTCCCCTGGGGCGTTGTCTCTATGTTCACATCACTGAAACCACATGAAGATGCCCAATCAGACACTTTGCTGGTTCAGTAGCTAAGTGTGCAGGATCAACGTGCTGAACAATAAGGACTGGTGAGGTTCTGATCATGAATTATCAAAACCATCATTTTTGTATAAATACATCCGACTTATTTACAGTAGTACCTTAGTGTTGACTGGTCACAATGACACATGGTTAAATAGACCATATATACTGTTCTGTGACTACTGAAACAACGGGTAATACTCCTTGACTGGTCACAATGACACATGGTTAAATAGACCATATATACTGTTCTGTGACTACTGAAACAACGGGTAATACTCCTTGACTGGTCACAATGACACATGGTTAAATAGACCATATATACTGTTCTGTGACTACTGAAACAAAGGGTAATACTCCTTGACTGGTCACAATGACACATGGTTAAATAGACCATATATACTGTTCTGTGACTACTGAAACAACGGGTAATACTCCTTGACTGGTCACAATGACACATGGTTAAATAGACCATATATACTGTTCTGTGACTACTGAAACAACGGGTAATACTCCTTGACTGGTCACAATGACACAAGGTTAAATAGACCATATATACTGTTCTGTGACTACTGAAACAACGGGTAATACTCCTTGACTGGTCACAATGACACAAGGTTAAATAGACCATATATACTGTTCTGTGACTACTGAAACAACGGGTAATACTCCTTGACTGGTCACAATGACACAAGGTTAAATAGACCATACTATATATACTGTGCTGTGACTACTGAAACAACGGGTAATACTCCTTGTAATACTCCTTGACTGGTCAAACAATGACACCATATATACTGTTCTGTGACTACTGACACAACGGGGTAATACTGACTGGTCACAATGACACAAGGTTAAATAGACCATATATACTGTTCTGTGACTACTGAAACAACGGTAATACTCCTTGGTTAAATAGACCATATATACTGTTCTGTGACTACTGAAACAACGGGTAATACTCCTTGACTGGTCACAATGACACAAGGTTATACTGTTCTGTGACTAAATAGACACATATATACTGTTCTGTGACTACTGAAACAACGGGTAATACTCCTTGACATATATACTGTTCTGTGACTACTGACACAACGGGTAATACTCCTTGACTGGTCACTTAAATAGTATCTGTTCTGTGACTACTGAAACACACGGGTAATACTCCTTGACTGGTCACAATGACACAAGGTTAAATAGACCATATATACTGTTCTGTGACTACTGAAACAACGGGTAATACTCCTTGACTGGTCACAATGACACAAGGTTAAATAGACCATATATACTGTTCTGTGACTACTGAAACAACGGGTAATACTCCTTGACTGGTCACAATGACACAAGGTTAAATAGACCATATATACTGTTCTGTGACTACTGACACAACGGGTAATACTCCTTGACTGGTCACAATGACACAAGGTTAAATAGACCATATATACTGTTCTGTGACTACTGAAACAACGGGTAATACTCCTAGCACACAATGTGCCATGTTGACAACCATTTCATGTACATACAAGCACCTGTCACATATCTTATCCTTCAGGAAACAAGTCTTCCAGCACATATGCAGAAGGTATATTTACAAGTGAGTTTGATTTGTTGTAATCAATATTGCTTCTATATACATGATATATGTGTAAGGCTGTTATAATGACGCATGTACTTGAGAGTCAACCTGTACAAGTGGTGACTGCCTCTCATAGCAAGGTGAGAATGTCTGATTTGGTATTTTATGACACTTTGCCTGAAGACTGACAATGATGGACCATACATTTGACACGCGGAATGATTGTACAAACATACATACACATTACAAGGTGCTTGCTCACTTTTGTTTGCTGTAGACAGAACAGCCCAGGGTGTGGTCAGCCCCAATGGTTTGAAAAGTGTTCAAGGGGATTTTATGGGATGCATAATTCATAGTCACTGAGGTTCAACTTAAGAAGACCCATCATAAAAATTCAATTAAGTAGTGTCAAGCACTTCACTAAGTACTGCCAACTGTACCCGCCATGAATGAAAAGATAGACCTATTAAATACCCATTGAGACGAGTCATATGGATGTGGTTGTTGAATTCAAGCTTATGAGTGAGAGAAACTCTGAACTAAGTTAGTGACTGAGAGATAGGGAGTGGTTGCATGGTGCTTAATGCCTCATTCAGCAATATTCCAGCCATGTGGCGGCAGTCTGTAAAAAGTCGAATCTGGACCAGACAATCCAGTGATCAACATCATGAGCAATTGGATGCAATGACATGTGTCAACCAAGTCAGAGAGCCTGACCACTGATCCTGTTTAGCCGCCTCTTACGACAAGCATGGGTTACTGAAGACCAATTCTAACCTGGGTCTTCATGGGTAAATAATGACCCCTCTTCATAGTCTACAACTAATCATGTTAGTTCAATCATGTTTGTTCTTAATGAAATCTGAGCTTAACCGTGGTTACAATTTTCATGATAATCACACTAAGCTCTGGAAAAACTAAAAAACTTAGAATTAGATCATAGTCACTGGTTGCTAAGAGGTAGCACACGTCTCAAAGCAATAATTCATAAGTTTCACACTACATTGTATGTTGGGTATTAACGTGTTGAAAATGTTGAGACAAGATTTAAAACTGACCTGTTACTGGACATGCTAGACATACATAATATGAGAAATGACTTAGCCATGATTTAATGAAGATTGTGACTTACATTCACTTCAAGGTGATTTAAAGGAGTCAGACAGGGATCTCGATCTGCCTGTAGTATTCAGAGATGTGACATTGCATACAGAAAGATGGCTAGCCTTGGACGTCTTGACAGTTTATTCAAACCACATCACTGAATTAAATGGTTACGATAAAGGTTATGAACTGCTAAAACATGACCAAGTACAATGTTCTCTACAGTCATAGTGCTTTTCATCAGCTAATAAAGATCTTACTTCTTGAATTTCTGTGTGTACACTTCAGCGATGCCAGAGAAGAGTTTGGCCTCTTGTGATGAAGCCTGGGCATCTTTCAGCGACTGCAGCAGCTCAGCCCTCTGTAACACATCAACCATATCTCCTACACATTGTACTGCAAATATACAGACTTCTCTCCTTAAAATCAATTTATATTTGTTCCCCTATCAACAATGATCAATCTCTATGCATTCAGGTCATCTTTCTCAACTCATAAGAGAGTTATACCAAGGGTTTTTCTCTCTCAATCGATGTAACTGTATCATAGTTACACTGAATATGCAATGCACACACAATGCAATTTAGAAAGTGGTCAAATGTAACATGTCATAGTTGGGGTTACCGGTACATATTTCGACTGACCATACTGACAATGACGAGGCTAATCATCTGCATATTCATCTTTAGAATGTTCAATATATGACCATGACAACAAAATATTTTCGTCATTCATCTTACACTGCAAGGTGCTTCGTGAAACGAAGCCCAGCATGACACCACAAGTTGTTTCGGTGTACAAACATAAACACATTTCACCATCTCGTCATCTACCAATGGAATATGGGTTCTTTTGGCTTCCCAGGGTATATCAACAGTACACTTGGAGAATAGACAACACTTAACCGGTAAACTCCATATGATGCAACTAATCATATGACTCTGGTATCATTATACACCAGTAATATCTTGTGCATTAGGTACAACACCCCCCTGGATTAGTTGAGAGAGACAGATCACAAAGTCCAATGTTTGTTGCCAGTCTTGAGTCTTCACATTGTAACAAAAAGACAAATCATTAATACGGGCGTTGTGTAAATTTAGAATTGGCTTTCATGATTTTAGAATTCACTATTTACGCAAACCCAATAGAGCTTTTAGTGATGTAAATGAATCCATCTGTAAAAATTGTAATACAGGTAATATTGAAAGTGAATTTCATGTATTATTTGTGTGTACCAAATATTTAGATTTAAGAAGTAAGTATTTATCATTTGTACAAACACCTGTAAGAGATGAACAAACATTGTCCAGTCTGTTAAATTCTAAAAATATTGATATTATCAAATCTATTGCAATTTATTTAAAACACGTGTGCATATAATTGTAGCAAGTGTATTTGTACTATAGGCCTTTAGGCCCGAAATACTGAATAAAAATGAATCTGAATCTGAATCTGAAAAACACAGACAGGGCTGTGGGTACCATGGATTTCATGGATGTGATTATACCTTGGATTTCTTTTCTTTCACTTCTATGACCCGCTGCAACCTTTTCCTCTCCTTCTTGCTGAGTTTTTTCACCCGTGGTGTGTTGTCATTCTTCTTCTTGGTCGATCGTTTCTTACCAGGCAGGACCAGAACATTGCTATCTTCCTCTCTAACAGACACTTTTTCTGCCTTGTCACTTGTTAGATCTAGCTTTATCTGGGAAAATGGAAACAGTTCTTCAAAATAAGTTAAACATACAGTTCTTTTGTAGTCAAACTTGTGTAGCCATGCTTACAGCCCCCGGAAAGAGTTCCTTTCGTTCCCCAATATTGTTCTGTAACATTACCGTGACTGGGGCCCTTATCATATATATCCTTTATATTGTAATTAGCGAGTGAGCGAGTTTGGTTTTTACGCCGCTGTTAGCATTATTCCAGCAACATCACGGCGGGGACACCAGAAATGGGCTTCACACATTGTACCCATGTGGGGAATTGAACCCGGGTCTTTGGCGTGATATATTGTAATTAATTTTGGGGCTTTTAGTTATTTGGGGGAGTTCTCTAGTAATTCTTGTGTTAGGTTTTGTTAATAATTTTAGTATATATTTATTTATAAATATTATTTAGGATAGGGGAACGGGAGGAACTCTTACTCAGCCCCCATACTGCATTCATGAACCTTATGACGAACACATTATCCATTACCTTTTCTATCCCTGATCCATTTCAATGGCTAGTTTAGCTGATGCTACTGAAAATATCTGACCAAAACAATATTAGATTGTCATCAGATTCAGATTGTGAGTTTGTTTCTAAACAGGTGCAGGTTTACTGAATTATGTTATTTATGTGCATATGGTAAATGTAGCCTAATCGTCTTGGACACCCAACACATACCACTGAACAGCTGAGTTAAAAGTTCATCTGTATTAAAGTTAAAAGCTGAAACCTATAATTTGTATAAACTATCCAACCGATATATACGGAAATACTTAAAACGTGACTTATTCTTTTAGACTATGATATTTGTTTAAATATAGAATCAGGCAACGTCTGAAGTCACAGGACTTCTTGACATGCATTACTGCCATTACAATGTAAACATTTCCACCTCTCTGATGTTCACATCGAGCAGTCAGTAGATTATGTTTTCTGATATTTACCTTTTTCTGCTCGCTATGGTCAACAACGATGTTTGACTGTTGTCTAGCCTTCCAGTTGAATTTACGTTTAGATTTCCCCATTAGTAACAATTTAGCAATAGGAACACAACATCATCACAGCTGATTCGGGGAGAAACGTGCTTCCAGGGTGCACGCGGGTAAATAAAGATCAAGAGTGATGTCCCTTAGGTCATCTACACATACTACTCGATAAAACTATAACGCACGACAGTGTGTACGTGTAACCAGGGGAAAGGCTGAGAAGCATTTGTCACAACTCCCCACCATAAAGAGAATTATAAAACTCATCTAAGCATGATATGAGTTTGTCGCAAAAGGTCCTGATACTTTCCTGTGATCATGACTCAACACTAAATTTATGAAGTGGAAAACCTATTGACGCGCGTATAGTTCAATATTGCTCTGAGACTGGCTCCGGCAGAAAATAATGCTTCTCCTGAGTTAGTTGTGTTGTGTTCTGTGAAAACAACAGTCTGTAATGCATAATCCATAACTCAAGCTGAATGGCGACTAGAGCCAGGCATCAAGTATATCTTGATGGCTGCTAAAGAAACAATATCTCATTGTCGGTATACTAATGATTAAAGCTCTCGTATATTTAGAACAATATCCAAATTAATATTTGTCGAAAAATGATCAGCCTATAATCATTTTTTCAGCAGTGCATGTATAACTTCCATATGCACAATTCTAAATATTATTAGACAAACGAGGAAAAAACCCATCTTAAATTGAGATGTGTTTAGTTTGAATGTATTATCTGTAATTTCTGCTACATTTAAGAATCACAAATGACATTTTCTTTTATTGAATGGGCAATTGGAATGGCATTTACTCAAACAAGATCGTTTTCAGCTGTAATGAGCCAAAATACAAATTAAAATTTGTATAAAATCAAGTTTGTCCAGTTTTATTAATTAAAACAATTAAAATTGCTACATGCATCTATTTTCCTTGAACCAATACAATCAGCATTTACTGCTCTATTGTCTTAACATATAGCTATATTAGCTGAAATACAAAAAGAAGTTTCCAAGTTTGGGATAATGGACTTGTCTTTGTAATAGTTTTTGTGTGTATGATTTTAGGTAAAACTACAAATAAGTCTTGATGCTTATTGAAGGGCAAAATGAGTTACGTTCGAACTGCAATCTGACAATAATATAACAAATACTATCTATGAGTGAGTTTAGTTTTACGCCGTCTTTAGCCATATTCCAGCAATATCACGGTGGGGACACCAGAAATGGGCACTATCTAGGAGACATCAAACAGAACAGAATACTGTTTTGTTCTACAGAATACTGTGCAGGGGAAACTTCAAGATCGTCTCTTTTCTCTTTAATAATTTCGACACCTTTAATTTTTGTTATCTTTAATGTTAATAACGCATCAAGAAGGCATTTATTTTATAGAATGGCTCGTGAAAAAAATGTCTACTGTCTCAATAGTTCAACACCGCAATGACTTTAGGTGGTCATTGAATTTGTCATTCACACTTGTGGCGTTCGATTTCTAACAATTTGTAAAACAAATACCTGTATTTTACCAGAATTCACAGGAAATACCTGTCAGTTATGTGTATAAACAATGATCGGTTAAGTACAAAATCTAATTTCAAATCAAAACCAAAGAGTGTGAAGTTTGTGTTAGATCAGACATATTTTTATTTGTATAAGTGGCCTTGAGACTAAAAGTACATGTGTAAAATTATAACAGTGAATTTATGCGCAACCTGTAAATTTGCGAATCATGGGACATCAATAAATCAATAAACACCCATTAACAATTGACATTTTCTTCTCAACCTATGAGGTAAAACACAAGGGCTACTTTAAACAATAATTCAACATTTTGTGGGCAAAGTAGCATACGGAATTTATGTCTTGACGGTTGGCTGTAGAATAACTAAGGCATATATTTTTCTCTCTTTTTTTTCTAAATATTTAGGGCATATAAGTAATACATGTTACTCATCTTCCTGACAAGTTGATGACGTTATTTAAGAAATACAGTTCTCTCTACCACCATGTATTTAAGAAATACAGTGCGCTCTACCACCATGTACAGTGTAATAAAGCACGCTTTCGCCCTGAACTACTATAACGTTATAACGCATGCTTCCGAATGCTTTTTTGCCAAGTTTAATACTTTCTAAGGATAATTACGATTAATCTGAGGCAGAAAACAAACGACGGTACGGTGTCGGTGACCTAAATTAAGAATCCTCGCACAGGGCTAACTGGCGCGCTGTTCTATTGATGTGTCTGACCCCCCCACCCCCCCAACGTTAAAACGAACTTTACCAGAAAAAAACAATTTATGATAAACAGTTTGATGGCGGTTTACGTTCGGATTTAATATCTTCTCCAGGATCTTCTTAGAATTCATTATACCAGTCTTGATGATAAATGTCTTTGCATCTCTGCTAGAATACTTGAATGAAATACTGCGCGTTGCTTACATTTTGAGCCTGCAGAGGATTAGGATTAGTGAAGTGGGAAGTCTTGGGGAGAGTAGTGAGCTTGGGTTCACTACAAGTCAATCTGAATGTTGTATTAAATGGCATTATTTTCATAACAAATGAAAACATTTTAAGTTTAACCATCTGCCAATGGTAAAAAATGTTAGGACTGAAATAACGAAGTCAATGTACGTCTTTATATTTTGTCTTATAATCCTAATTGGTTTATTATCATATTTGTATGCATTTTGAAACTTAATCAAATGCACACGATCTGCTTATACTTAGTGAATTTATAATATGATTGTAATATCTAGACATTTTATAGATGGACAACGTGTATCATATTTCACAAACACGCCCTGAGTGCGACCTAGTGTATGCTGTCTGTCTCATTACACTTCACAGCAAAAAAAATTGATTCTCTTGAATGCCATAACAAATAAATAAAAACAAAATGCAAATATTAAAATTAAAACAGGCTAAAGTTATAGCAACAATATCAGGCTATTACCCTGTTCGGGGAATGTATCCATCAATATCCACATAAAGGAATGAGATGCCATTCATTTGCAGCTGACAAAATATCCTGTTCCATGTCATGTGTCTTTTAACAGTCTAATATGCGAAAAAGTGATCTATCGTTTCAGAATTTTCACATTGGTGTATAGTCCCACTGGTCACCCAAGATAGAACACCTGGCAACTAACTGCATGATGTCTGCCATTCTTTAACAAAGTAATTTAGTTAGCCAATAATGAGCAATCAATCAATGTATTGGCGGTTAATTCTTTGAAGGAAGGACGTTGTTTTTACAAAGAGACTTTACGACAGGGTGTATTCAGTATAGATTAGTAAATCTACATACATAAACACTACCTCTTGACAAATCCGCTGTGCAGGATAAAAGCAATTAATCAATCAGCGTGTTATCGGTTAATCCTTTGATCAATGTTTGTTTTGTAACTCAGCTGATAATTCCTCTTGCTGCACTTCCATGCGCATGTTACATAAGATGTAATACATTTGCTACATCATACTTCAATTTATAATGATGAGTATTTACTCCAGACACAAGAAATGTCAAATGGGAACCTTTGTCGGGTAATCTGAGTGGTGTTATCACTAATTATACCTGTTATATATTCATTAACTGACCATCAAGTGAATGGTGACAAATAACATGCGTAGTTTTACCACCAAACAAGGGTTACAGCAAGAGAGTAGTAATCGTTGTATTGCATGCAAGTTTGATTGCCTGAAAACAAACTTATGGGCAGACACTGTTTTGAGGATACCATGCATGTCATGTACAAAATCAATCCCCAGCCACCCTACCCCACCCACCCCCTTCTCATAATTTGTATGCATAATTTTAAAATATATTTATGTGCAAAATTGCTGACCACCCCCAACCCCCTACCACCCGGAACAAAATGGGTGAAACCCCCTCTCCCCTTAAAATCATCATCACCCCCCTAACCACATATTAGGAACGGTCCCTCACGCGACATATTTTTGACAATAATAACATATTACAGGTATATGACTATTTAAAAAAGAAAAATTATGTTCTTAATGTTTCTGAAATTAATTATATGCTTTCATCAGTCATTTTCGGGAGTACTGCACTTTACCGGGCGCACTTTTTCAGATTAATTAGCGCTGCTGGGGTTCCCTTACCCTAACCCTAAGGATCGTAAAGGGTGCCTAACCCTAAGGATCGTAAAGGGTGGCATACCCTAACCCTAAGGATCGTAAATGGAGCAGCGACGGCTGCGCCCGGTAAAGTGCATTCTAGCCTCATTTTCTTTCTTATGATGGACGAAATAAATCCGTGCCCGTACATAATGCGAAACAAAGCAAGATTTGTATGGCGCTCTTTTGTGTTCTCAGTTTTTCGAAACCAAATCAACATCGTACGAATCGGTTGTCTCCCTTTAGAAATAACATGTGTTGTCTCCCTTTATGCATGAATGGTAAACTATTTTTAGTAACAATTTAGCGTACCATAAAAGTGTGAATCCGGAAGTTGTGGACCAGAAATCTGATACAAACAACAAAGTAAGTTCCGGTTGGAGAAACACCTTCAGATAAGGGATGTTAGGGTAATGTCAGGTACGTCTACGGAAACATCTCGAACGTACGTGCTCAATGCGAACTTCAGACAGGACTATGCTTCATTCGGCAACTGTTCTGTGTCAGACGGAGTGAGTTTGAATGGTTAAGCACACTACCAGGTAAGCGTAGATACATCATACCACTGGCGTTAGGTACATGTGAGACTATAAAGCATTATATACTTATCGGTTGGGTTGAAGGGAGGGTGGTGCCAATAGCGGAAGTGATGCAGCATACGACAGAACTGCCAAATTACCTATAGAATCTAATGTCCAGAAAGCTCATGGTGCATCTGACACACAGCTATCGTAATGGCTTTATGGTTTAGACTCTTCTATTATAGGGTCTGCCCCAGCCATGTATAATGTTGGTGTCGACCTCCCCACTCCACCCTACCATCTGTACCCAGCATTACAAGTGTGCCCAGACTAACATGAGGGAAACTGGAGTTCATGAAACAGTCTGTGACAAAAGCCACTTGTCCACATTTTAACTCTGTATTCCAAACTGTGTTTGGCTGAACTCGTAAGCTCTAGCTGTTAATAATAGTCTATATTATGACGGGAGAGTTTCTTGCAGCCTTATGTCCCTAGACGGACGAAGAGGATTAAGTAAGTTAAGTAATATTATGACTCTAAAAATTCTACAGAAAATAGTGATTCAGAGGCCCAGATAAGCTGCGTATCCGGGTAAAATAAGCATATAAAAATTTCAAATTACGCATTGAAAAATAATTGTTAGAAAATAAAATTTTAGATACGCAAAAAGTTTAAAACAAATGCGTACGGAATATATTTATAAAAATCGCTTTCGTAATGAAAAAGACATCGATTGCTATCAAGTTGTACTGTTAGTATAGGACAAGTGTTGTACTGGCAGTATAGGATGAGTGATTTTTCTGAAATCATTTCCATTATATTTAAGTTGGTTTTGATTAGGTATGACATAGGCAGAACATTCCTGCTTAGTAAATGTACTCAGTCACATAATACTTAGGTGAGTAAAATGACTGAAATTATACTCACATATTTGAAAGCAGTGGGTAATAGAAAATGAAATACCCACTCAACATTCATAATACCCACTCCAAAAAAATACAGTGGGTACAGTACCCACATGAGCTAAATCTTATCTGGAGCTCTGGTGATAAGAACCATATTCAAACAAGCAGACGGGTCAGCCGCTTTGGACACAGACTGATGAAGAATCAAGATTATTACCCTGTGAAGTAAAATTTCTCCTGCAGGGTGACAGAAATGTTTTCAGATTGATGTCATCATGTGGAATTTCAAGATTCTTGTACTTTTCCTTCATCATGTGTACTCCTTGTATGTGATGTTGATGTTTCAGATAGTTGAGAGATAACCTTAGATTTACGTGCGCATCACCCACCAGTAGAGCCAAAGACTATGAGTGGTAAATATAAATCTGATCATGAAGCATACAAATTTGTTTGGAATAGCAAGATGTTGTCGCAATTCAGAAATAATCTACTATCGGATGATATACAAGACTTATTTGATAAATCTGTTGATGTAGCATTCACTGATATAAGTCAATGTGTAGATTATGTCGTAGAAGCATTGTGTCTAGCTGCTTTTGATATGAAAAGACGGATACGCCCCTTCTCAGAACAACATAATACGAATATCTGGTATGATGAAGAATGTAATCATTTAAAAAAAGAACGGTGTAAATTTCTTAACTCCTTCCGAAAAGATAAAACCTTGCAATCCCTGGAGAGATATCACAAAGCTAGAAACAGATATAATACAACCTGCAAGGAAAAGAGAAAGGCATTTATGGAACAGAAAAGAAAAAACCTAGAAAATAATATAAATGATGCCAAAAAATTCTGGTATGAACTTAAAACACTAAATCCTAAGAAAAGCCAAAATAATAACATTGAAATCGACGAATGGTTCAATTACTTTCAGTCATTATTCTCAACCTCTGATAACAACCCAGATCCAAATAGACAAGACTATGTGAACGATACTGAGTCTACTCATATTACAGGTGTAGCCCCCGACATATTGGATGCCCCAATAAGTAGAGATGAAATACTTAACAGTATACAACATCTAAAGTGTAACAAGTCACCAGGATTAGACAACATCCTCCGAGAATTTTTCAAACATTCATCTGATCTTTTACTTCCATATCTTGAGCTTATTTTCAATATTATCCTCGACACTGGGAACTTTCCTGAATCTTGGTCAGTTGGCATTCTTGTTCCAGTCTATAAACAGGGTGACTCTAAAGATACCAATAACTACCGTGGAATAACTGTACTTAGTATATTTGGCAAGTTATTTACTTACATTATCAACAAAAGATTAGTTAAATGGACTGGCGTCATGGATCAGATATCACGAGGGTCAAGCGGGCTTTAGGGAGGATATACAACAACAGATAATATCTTTATACTGTATAGCCTAATACAAAGATACCTCAGCTCAAAAGGTGGAAAGTTCTACGCACTATTCGTTGATTTTGCAAAGGCTTTCGATTCTGTGCAGCGGGATAAACTATGGAGACTTCTACAATTGCACGGTCTTAGTAGTAAAATGAATAAAATGTTGAAGAGTATATACGAAAATGTTAAAGTGTGTGTAAGGAATCAGCATGACTTATCTGAACCTTTCATTAGTGAACTAGGTGTTAGACAAGGCTGTATTTTAAGCCCTTTCCTTTTTACGTTTTTCATTAATGAATTAGCAATACAAATATGTGACACATGTACGAATGGGATTCAACTACACCCAGATACAATACAACTATTTCTGTTACTCTTTGCCGATGATATTGTACTATTTTCTAGTACTGTTAGCGGTTTACAGAAACAAATAGATGAATTAGACACATTTTCTGACCAATATAAATTGTGTGTAAACAGAGACAAAACCAAAATTATCGCCTTTTAAGAAAGGTGGCAAACTCTCTAAATTAGAAAAATGGTATTATAAAGGGCAACTACTCAAAACTACCAGTGTTTATAAGTATCTTGGTGTATACTTTTGTAATAGTCTTTCCTGGTCCAAACACACAAAACAAGCGTCAGCACAAGCCTTGAAAATCCTAATCGGTGTTTGTAAAAATATGAGATCGTTGGGTGAAATGTCCTTTAACACATTCTTTAAAATATTCGATATGAAGATAAGTCCAATACTTCTATATGGCTCTGAGATATGGGGATTACAACAATATGACAGTATTGAAAGAGTTCATTTATATGCATGTAAAAAGGTTCTTGGTGTAAAACCGAACACATGTAATAGGATGGTTTACAGAGAATTAGGTAGATTCCCCTTGTTTATATACTCTTCCATTAAAGCCATAAAGTATTGGGTAAGATTACTGCATATGCCATGCCATAGGTTTCCGAAAAAATGTTATGATATGATGAAATTGTATGACGAAAATGGGAAAAGGAATTGGGTGAGTGATATTAGGGAGTTTTGTACAAAACTGGTTATGGTTATGTGTGGTGTGATCACAATGTTCAGTTGCATACCAATTTTATCATATCCTTTACACAAAGAATGAAAGATATCTATTTCCAGTCTTGGTGAATCACTACTTCTATCCACAAAATGTTTATACTATAACCAATGGAAATCGGACATACGTTTGAAGATTATTTAGCTTAAAATCGGCGTAAAGAAGTTCCAGTATAGCTCTCTCGTTTTCGCTTGCTCTTCCCATGAATTATTTATTGAAACTGGCAGGTATGCAGGTATACAAAGAGAAATCAGAATATGTCAGTTATGTAATATGAGTACTGTTGAGGATGAACTACATTTTCTTCTAATCTGTCCTGCTTATACGACTCTACGAACAAAATACCTAAAGCCATACTATTATAAACATCCAAGTGTAAGAACATTAATTTCACTATTAACAGATACTACCACATCAATATTACATAATCTGGCAATGTACATCTATTTCGCTATGAGATTAAGAAAAAGTATTGTTACAGAAAAGAATTTATAAACGATTTCTATCTACTCATGTAAACTCTAAATGTACTACAGGCCTGTGGCCTTTTAAGTACTGAAATAAAGATTGATTGATTGATAGTTGAGAGCAGCTACCTTGTACTGTCACGATGACAACAGATGCTCCTTGTATGTGATGTTGATGTTTCAGATAGTTGAGAGCAGCCACCTTGTACTGTCACGATGACAACAGGTGCTCCTTGTATGTGATGTTGATGTTTCAGATAGTTGAGAATTAACCACCTTGTACTGTCACATTGACAACAGATGCTCCATGTATGGAATGTTGATGTTTCAGATAGTTGAGAACAACCACCTTGCACTGTCACATTGACAACAGGTGCTCCTTGTATGTGATGTTGATGTTTCAGATAGTTGAGAACAACCACCTTGCACTGTCACATTGACAACAGGTGCTCCATGTATGTGATGTTGATGTTTCAGATAGTTGAGAGCAGCCACCTTGTACTGTCACGATGACAACAGGTGCTCCATGTATGTGATGTTGATGTTTCAGATAGTTGAGAGCAACCACCTTGTACCGTCACGATGACAACAGGTGCTCCATGTATGTGATGTTGATGTTTCAGATAGTTGAGAGCAACCACCTTGTACTGTCACGATGACAACAGGTGCTCCATGTATGTGATGTTGATGTTTCAGATAGTTGAGAACAACCACCTTGCACTGTCACGATGACAACAGATGCTCCTTGTATGTGATGTTGATGTTTCAGATAGTTGAGAACAACCACCTTGCACTGTCACATGACAACAGATGCTCCATGTATGTGATGTTGATGTTTCAGATAGTTGAGAACAACCACCTTGCACTGTCACAATGACAACAGATGCTCCTTGTATGTGATGTTGATGTTTCAGATAGTTGAGAGCAGCTACCTTGTAATTGTCAACAACAGATGCTCCATGTATGTGATGTTGATGTTTCAGATAGTTGAGAACAACCACCTTGTACCGTCACATTGACAACAGATGCTCCTTGTATGTGATGTTGATGTTTCAGATAGTTGAGAACAACCACCTTGTACTGTCACGATGACAACAGGTGCTCCATGTATGTGATGTTGATGTTTCAGATAGTTGAGAACAACCACCTTGTACTGTCACATTGACAACAGGTGCTCCATGTATGTGATGTTGATGTTTCAGATAGTTGAGAACAACCACCTTGTACTGTCACATTGACAACAGGTGCTCCATGTATGTATGTTGATGTTGATGTTTCAGATGAGTTGAGATGCATGTTTCAGATTGTAGCCACCTTCACGTCACGATGACAACAGATGCTCCATGTATGTGATGTTGATGTTTCAGATAGTTGAGAACAACCACCTTGTACTGTCACGATGACAACAGGTGCTCCATGTATGTGATGTTGATGTTTCAGATAGTTGAGAACAACCACCTTGTACTGTCACGATGACAACAGATGCTCCTTGTATGTGATGTTGATGTTTCAGATAGTTGAGAACAACCACCTTGTACTGTCACATTGTGCTGACAACAGATGCTCCATGTATGTGATGTTGATGTTTCAGATAGTTGAGAACAACCACCTTGTACTGTCACATTGACAACAGGTGCTCCATGTATGATGTTGATGTTTCAGATAGTTGAGAACAACCACCTTGTACTGTCACGATGCTCCATGTATGTGATGTTGATGTTTCAGATAGTTGAGAACAACCACCTTGTACTGTCACATTGACAACAGGTGCTCCATGTATGTGATGTTGATGTTTCAGATAGTTGAGAACAACCACCTTGTACTGTCACGATGACAACAGATGCTCCTTGTATGTGATGTTGATGTTTCAGATAGTTGAGAACAACCACCTTGTACTGTCACGATGACAACAGGTGCTCCATGTATGTGATGTTGATGTTTCAGATAGTTGAGAACAACCACCTTGTACTGTCACATTGACAACAGGTGCTCCATGTATGTGATGTTGATGTTTCAGATAGTTGAGAACAACCACCTTGTACCGTCACATTGACAACAGATGCTCCTTGTATGTGATGTTGATGTTTCAGATAGTTGAGAACAACCACCTTGTACTGTCACGATGACAACAGGTGCTCCTTGTATGTGATGTTGATGTTTCAGATAGTTGAGAACAACCACCTTGCACTGTCACGATGACAACAGATGCTCCTTGTATGTGATGTTGATGTTTCAGATAGTTGAGAGCAGCCACCTTGTACTGTCACATTGACAACAGGTGCTCCATGTATGTGATGTTGATGTTTCAGATAGTTGAGAACAGCCACCTTGTACTGTCACATTGACAACAGGTGCTCCATGTATGTGATGTTGATGTTTCAGATAGTTGAGAACAACCACCTTGCACTGTCACAATGACAACAGGTGCTCCTTGTATGTGATGTTGATGTTTCAGATAGTTGAGAGCAGCCACCTTGTACTGTCACGATGACAACAGATGCTCCATGTATGTGATGTTGATGTTTCAGATAGTTGAGAGCAGCTACCTTGTACTGTCACATTGACAACAGGTGCTCCATGTATGTGATGTTGATGTTTCAGATAGTTGAGAACAACCACCTTGCACTGTCACGATGACAACAGATGCTCCTTGTATGTGATGTTGATGTTTCAGATAGTTGAGAGCAGCCACCTTGTACTGTCACGATGACAACAGATGCTCCATGTATGTGATGTTGATGTTTCAGATAGTTGAGAGCAGCTACCTTGTACTGTCACATTGACAACAGGTGCTCCATGTATGTGATGTTGATGTTTCAGATAGTTGAGAACAACCACCTTGCACTGTCACGGTGACAACAGATGCTCCTTGTATGTGATGTTGATGTTTCAGATAGTTGAGAGCAGCCACCTTGTGCTGTCACATTGACAACAGGTGCTCCATGTATGTGATGTTGATGTTTCAGATAGTTGAGAACAACCACCTTGCACTGTCACGGTGACAACAACAGGTGCTCCTTGTATGTGATGTTGATGTTTCAGATAGTTGAGAACAACCACCTTGCACTGTCACGGTGACAACAGGTGCTCCTTGTATGTGATGTTGATGTTTCAGATAGTTGAGAGCAGCCACCTTGTGCTGTCACATTGACAACAGGTGCTCCATGTATGTGATGTTGATGTTTCAGATAGTTGAGAACAACCACCTTGCACTGTCACGGTGACAACAGATGCTCCTTGTATGTGATGTTGATGTTTCAGATAGTTGAGAGCAGCCACCTTGTGCTGTCACGGTGACAACAGATGCTCCATGTATGTGATGTTGATGTTTCAGATAGTTGAGAACAACCACCTTGCACTGTCACGGTGACAACAGATGCTCCTTGTATGTGATGTTGATGTTTCAGATAGTTGAGAGCAGCCACCTTGTGCTGTCACGATGACAACAGATGCTCCATGTATGTGATGTTGATGTTTCAGATAGTTGAGAACAACCACCTTGCACTGTCACGGTGACAACAGATGCTCCATGTATGGAATGTTGATGTTTCAGATAGTTGAGAACAGCCACCTTGCACTGTCACGGTGACAACAGATGCTCCATGTATGTGATGTTGATGTTTCAGATAGTTGAGAGCAGCCACCTTGTGCTGTCACGATGACAACAGATGCTCCTTATATGTGATGTTGATGTTTCAGAAAGTTGAGAACAGCCACCTTGCACTGTCACGATGACAACAGGTGCTTTATGTGTGTGATGTTGATGTTTCAGATAGTTGAGAGCAGCTACTTTGTACTCTCACGATGACAAGCACGACACCAACTAGCAACATGACCAAGGTTGCATTAGATCAGATCAAGAAAAACCTGGCCAAAAGAACATTCAGTGTAAAATTTGATCTGCAGGACACAGATTACAAACCTATAGAGAACATTGGCATTGGAGCATACGGTGTCGTTTGCTCAGCCACGCATAAGAAAACTCAAGACCGAGTGGCCATCAAGAAGATCCCTCATGTGTTTGATGCACTGACAGTAACCAAGAGAACGTACCGAGAGATCAAGATCCTGAAACACTTCAACCATGATAACATCATCAACATCCGGGAAATCCTGAAGCCAAAGCAGGAACATTTCCAGGAGATCTATGTAGTGTTTGACCTCATGGAAAGTGACCTGCATCGCATCATCTACACACAACAAGAACTGACCGAGGAACACATCCGGTACTTTCTGTACCAGATCCTGCGGGGGCTGAAGTACATCCACTCTGCCAATGTCATTCATCGAGATCTCAAGCCCAGCAACCTCCTCGTCAATGAAGACTGTCACGTCAGGATTGGAGACTTTGGTGAGTGTTCTGTTTAGTCTGATCTATTAATATTTATTTGATGTTTTGAATTTGTGAGACATGTAATAAAGTACACAACGTCTGGAGGATTCCAAGAAAACAAATAATTATTAAGAGATGTCTTGTCCTTGCTATGAAACATGTCAAAGCAAGTAATCACCATGATCACAATAGGGCCGGTAACAACACACAATACTTTTCGTTAAATATACAATGCATATCAATACTATCCTACTGATCCTTGTAAGAAATTGATTTAAAATAGCAAATTCAACAAACAAGGTATATTACATGATGTAGGGAACATGACCATAATGATAGCACCACATACAACATTAGGAGTCTAGGTATGTAATTTAGCAGTTTTGTTAAAAACGCATGCAATAATCATGATAATAGACTAAAACACATCAAAAACCAATCAAGTATTATTTCTGTGAGTACACACATTGAGGAGAAGACTGTATCATTTCATTTTCGAAATATTATGAGTCTCTGAAGAAAAAATGCAAAGTTTCTTAGGTGTGTGGAAGGTATTTATTTATAACAGTTTCTTGTTTCTTCTCCAGAAATGACTCATTGGTTGCCACGGTTCCTCTAGAATTATTTTATTAATAATACTTTAGGTATAAGTGTGGACTCTTCGCTCCTGAGAAACCAGCCGGTTATGTTTCTGTGGCCTACTTTGCATGCTTAGGTTCAGTGATGAACACCTGTTCAATATAAGACATAAACATGAGCTTCAATGGTATTTAATGTTAAGTAATAAGTAATAATAAGTATCATTATTGGTCTTTTAATCTGTGTTAAGGTTTTTTACTGGCCTTATAGACAACATACCATGCATTCAGTGATTGAATCAAACAAATGTTGTTGAGTTTATACACCTGCGAGAAGCATGGCAACTGTAGGTTATTAGATGAACAGGACTTCTAGATATAGTTTGGAAATCCTATTGCATGTTGCAACTCTGAATTTGTTGTTGAATCTCAAGATCATGAGGATGTTGAATATGTATGGCAGAGACAGTAGCATTATTACCATGGCTTACAGACTGGCTGTGTCATATGGGTGTTTAGTGAGACTGGCCTTAGAAGTGTCATATGTTACCCTTCCACTTGTGTCATGCTGTTGGTCACAGGATTGTCTGGTCCAGACTCAATTATTTACAGACCGCTGGAATATTGCTGAGTGTGGCATAAAACTAAACTCACTCACTCACTTTCCACTTGTGTACTTTCATGACCAGATTGAATCTCCATGTTCACCATCAGTGTTAAGGGTCTTATCAAGGGTTTTATATTCCCTACATCATGATAAGAGTGTTTATCTGAAGATGTTTGAGATATAATATCATGCACAAGTACATGCGTGCTCGTGGATTCCTTTTAATTAGAGACCGCCTCCTTGGTGTAGTGGTTAGAGCATCCGCACTGAGAGCGGAAGGTCGCAGGTTCAATCCCAGACCGCGTCAAACCAAAAGACATTAAAATATGGTACTTGTTGGTCCCTGCCTGGCACTCGGCATTAATGGGTACAACAAGGACTGGTCGGCTCGGAGTCAGTATAATGTGTCTGAGTTGGGTATTCATGCTTCACTGCGGCGTGGTATCTCAGTGGGCTAGCACTATAAAACCAGCTTAAGTCTGGGCTAGTACAAGCAGCCGCATATACACATACACATGCATGCACGTCGTCATATGAGCAAAATATTCTCAAGCACGACGTTAAACCCAATTTCACCTCACCTCACCTCACCTTTTAATTAGGTCAACCATGTGGTACACATGCATCAGATACATGGCATTAGTAAATTCCAGGATTGAAGTTATTTCTAATGCATGTTATTGTGGTTACATAGCAAAATCTTAATTTTTTTAAGACTATCTAAAAAAATTGTGATGATAGAAATGTGACAGCATGGTTGGTGGCCTAAAATGTCAACAAATCATTCCCCTTTTGATTCTTTGGAAGCTACTCATGAGGAGAAAGATTCTCCACCCAAACTTCTGAAACATTTGTCCTGCGATATTGTGTACGTTTGACAATAACACCCCCTATTTCCAATATTGCGATGTGTTGCATGTAAACCTCAGCCCAGCATTACACCTGTTGAACATGCTTCTACAACCTTAACACATAGCTTGGAGAGGGGGACCATGGATGAAGGGAAATTAAGATTTGATGCGATGGTACAGCTTGTGTGGGTCAACCGTGTGTAGTGTGCTGCGTCAGTTGTCTATGTAGTGGAGTCGCTGTTGTGATGTCAGCATGGAGGAATGTCTCCCCAGCTCCACGGCACTGTTTGAGGACAAACATTGGCAATACCACTGCTGTTGGCAAACAGAATTTCAAGGTCAGCGTGCTGGCAATTCAAACATACAACAATGAAATGCCATTGTAGCACAATTTGAAACTGTAACATCAAACAGTTGTCACTGGGGGGATGAAGCAAGGAAGATGTTGGTGTAGCTCTGTGCAGTGGGTTGTGGTCCGGCAGTGCCGATACATGAACTAATCATATTGAAAGTGTTTCTGAGGTGTTCACTACGATGGAAATAATGGATGTGGAGGGGGCGTACAGTAAGTATGCATATATCTTGACATATGGTGTACTGATGGGAGAGTGTGATGTCTATGATTATTGTGGTGAAGTATGTCAGGATAGACTGTAATGTCTATTATTATCATGGTAAATTATGTCAGGATAGACTGTAATGTCTATTATTATCATGGTAAACTATGTCAGGATAGACTGTAATGTCTATTATTATCATGGTAAACTATGTCAGGATAGACTGTAATGTCTGATTATCATGGTAAACTGTCAGGATAGACTGTAATGTCTATTATTATCATGGTAAACTATGTCAGGATAGACTGTAGTGTCTATTATTATCATGGTAAACTATGTCAGGATAGACTGTAATGTCTATTATTATCATGGTAAACTGTCAGGATAGACTGTAATGTCTATTATTATCATGGTAAACTATGTCAGGATAGACTGTAATGTCTATTATTATCATGGTAAACTATGTCAGGATAGACTGTAATGTCTGATTATCATGGTAAACTATGTCAGGATAGACTGTAATGTCTATTATTATCATGGTAAACTATGTCAGGATAGACTGTGATGTCTGATTATCATGGTAAACTATGTCATGATAGACTGTGCTGTCTATGATTATGTATGTCATGATAAAGTGGATAAGTGGATTTCACTCTCGCACTACTACTACTACAAGTCTTGTCGATCTTTGAAAAACTCTTTGTTCTTCCCAGACATACAGGTTGAAGTTTCAGTAAAATGGACTGTAGGCTGACACATATTAAGCAAAGTTTTGTATGAAAATCTGAATATAAGTTATCTATTATATTCTACCCATCTAAGTGTCTATTGAACTCGCTGATTTTGGCAGGGTCTAATCTCATGACACACAGAGGAAGGTGTGAGGTACTGCTGTCTCACTGACTGGTCCATACATACAGACTAGGAGGGATGTGGGAGCCCTCGGCAGATTGTCATAGTTTTCATATTCTAAGAAGTGTTTTGTTTTCCTTGTTTAATGCTGCAGTCAGCAATTATATAGCTGCAAGATGGTAGTCTCTAAACCATCCCATCTGAGCCAGACAATCAAGTGATTGATGTCATGAGTATTGACATACACAACTGGGAACCGATGACATGTGTCAACCAAATCAGCGAGCCTGACCACCCGATCACATGAGTCGCTTCATACGACAAGCATGGGTTGCCGAAGACCAATTATAACTCAGATCTTCACAGGTCACACAGGTAAATAGTTCTCAGACAACCACAATTTTGTTTCAGTTGTACAGAAAGGTTGTTTAAAGGTTGAACTTCAGGCAGTACCTCCAGACATTTTCCAGACTTGCTTACAGTACAGCATTTAATTGAACATACATGTAGTGTAAAGTCTTATTACATCGAATATATTCAGTCATTATGTTGCTGGGAGCAGCATGAATTCATTCGCAAACTTCTTCTGATGTCATGATTGAGATGTAATTAGTTTACCAAATGCAAGGAATATAAATGTATGGGATTCAAGTGTGACAAGATGAGTAGTTTTCACTGAAAAAATAGATGGGTTTGGTTCCTTTACTTGAGCTTGAGTATATTTTTCATGGCTTATTGTAACCATGAAAACACTAAAATAACAATCATCATCCCCAGCTGTTCAGCAAACGGAATGATTTCTAAGTTTGCAGTTACAGTAGTTGACATGGTTAAGGCCTTGGGGACTGTCACCCTGTTGTAGTTTTTATTTATCTCTGCAAATGGCTCACAAATAAACTTCGAAAAGTGTTGCAAGTTTATGAAATTATCCCTTTTTTGAGCAATGTTATGCATCTCTTGGACATGGGGAAAGATGCAGGTCATTGTAAACAAGGGGAACTCCCATTGTGTGAGGCTTACAGATGGGTTTAGGTGTGATATGTGCACTACAGTATCTGACACGATAGGGAGTTTTGCTATCAACTGATAAACTTTATAACCTTTTCAATTTTGTTTCAACATGTTCAAGACTAACTCATCAGTTAAGTAGGTTAATTCAACAATAGAGGGGGCTTATTCAGTAGGCTTGTTCAGTAGGTAGCTGTGTGGAGATTTCTTGCGAAAGTTAGCACCCAGCAACCTTCGTTGCTGTCTGCTTTTATCTATTGGGTGGTGAGGGCCTCTGACTTGGTTCATAGTTTATATTTGTTATCAATTCAATATCAAGCCTCTGTAAAATCCTCCAACTAAGGTTAGAGCACGGCCTCTGATCTCCCTTGTAATATGTGGGTCAACAGTAACAGATGAGGACAGGTGATCCTGAAGTATGATGAATGACCGTTCCACTTGGGATATGACCTATGACATCAGTGAGCCTGACCATCCTGTCCCTTTAATCACCCTGTTCTGACCGGAATCAACACTGGATCAGAATACACCAATTGTTAATAATGCAGGGTCTGATGCAAGGTCGGTCATCTTCACTTATATATATTAAATACTAGGGGTGACTATTGAGGTCTAAGGAACTATTGCGATTTCGATAGTCTATTGCAAGCAACTATTGCGATGTCGATAGTCTATTGCAAGCAACTATTGCGATGTCGATAGTCTATTGCAAGCAACTATTGCGATGTCGATAGTCTATTGCAAGCAACTATTGCGATGTCGAAAGTCTATTGCAAGCAACTATTGCGATAACTATTGCGATAGTTCAGACAAAATTCAAATTGCCATTTTCTACCAACTTCTTTTACATTAAACTACTTAAACCATAAAATGTGTTTAATTGTTTATTCCTTATAACTTTCAGGTCAGTATTGGTAAAGTTGTCATGATGACTTCTTCATGAACATGACTTCATGACATGATTCCACAACAAGCCAACACATTCACACAGGATTTAATACTATTTATTACAAAACTGTGCTTTGCAGACTCTTTGATCCCCACAACTTTGTATGTAGAATAACATACAAAAAAATAAAGAATAAATACTGGCTATGTGGCTCTGTCACATTTTTGACAAATGGTAACCTTTCAGTTTCAATAGAAAACACTTACTTTGTGTAAAGGTTGAAAATGAAACAGTTCACAGGTAGATATGTTTTAGTTTTAACAACATGAAGATGATAAAATATATCCAATGCACTGAACAGTCAACAGATTGAAAGAAGACAATAATCTTTTGTCACTTTGAAAGTATCAAGAAATCTCACAAATAACCTATCAGCAGATAACTTGGTGACTCAAGTTGAAAGATAGGTTAACATAATTGGCAATATTTTACATTAACACATTTTGCTCAAAGTCAAATAGTGTGATGAAGGCAGATAATAGTTCATTTTTTATCTTGGTTTCCAACTTTCCAATTCTTCTTTAGAAACAAGAGTCTGTCCACATGTGCAGATTCTGCTAGTTCATCCATCAGTTGTGAGTGAAACATCCTCAGCACAGGAAAGGTCATTCCTGACATGGGCAAGGCAGAACCTGAGAAATACTGTCACGAGGGGGTTGTGTAACGTGGTTCCAAAACTCGCAACATGTCCCTAAACCCCTCATTGTGGACAACACTGAATGGCCGCAAATCTTTCACAATAAATTCAAGAATGGCTGCCAAAATGTCTCTTGCTCGTTTTGACGACGAAAGTAGAGTAGTTTTGTCATTGAGCACTGTCAGGGTTGTTTGTCTCTTAGGCCTACCCTTGGTTGGGGCAAGCACATCAAGACCGTGCCTCAGACACACATGATCTGTCAAATTGGTTGTAATTCTACAATACTTCAATATCAGCTTACACTTCCGACATGCAACTCGCTTCTTGTCCACTTTATCTGGTTTTACAAACCCAAAGTGTTCCCATACAGCTGACTAAGCTGACGTATTGTTTATGATTTCAAAATTCGCAAAATCCCCGCTGTCTGCTTGAGCTGCCATTTTGGTAAAGGGGGTAACTCTACATCCCCCTTATATCACTTCAAAATGCTGTCACTTACAGCAAATAAAGATTAATCCCAATCGGAGGTAGGGCTGTAGGACAGAACATGTTTTCAAGTTACCGTTATTTATAAAACAAATTAAAGCGATAGTATTCCACATTGAGTTAACTGTTAACATTCTGAGCTAACTCTTGTAGTGGTGCAAGATAGCTGAATCACTGGTTCTACAATATTTAGATACCCGTGAAGATCCAGTTTAGGATTGATTTTCAATAACCCATGCTTGTCATAAGAGGCGACTAACGGGACCGGGTAGTCAGGCTCGCTGACTTGGTTGAGACACGTGAACGTATCCCAATTGCGTAGATCGATGCTCATGCTGTTGATCACTGGATTGTCTTTTCCAGATTCAATTATTTACAGACCGTCGCCATATAGCTGGAATATTGCTCAGTGCGGTGTTAAACAACATTCTAACAATCATTCTCTGATGCTGTCATCATTGAGCTGGAATACTGCAGAAGGTAGTGTTAAGCAACATTTAAACAACAGTAAGGTAAAGTAATCCAGTAACTCACTTTATCAGCATATGTCTTGATCCAGTTTTAGAATAAGGGAAGTCCTATAGGATGTAGCTTGTAATATATGTAGAAGGGCAACTACTACCATGAGGAATCCACTGATCTCAGATTCTGGACCTGGGATATAACAGGCATGTGGCCAGAATGTGTTGAAAGGGGTGTCCAGCCCACGTGAACTGTGAGTGACATGGTGCTCCCTGCTGCAGGTATGGCCCGAGGTATCTTCCAGACCCCCGATGAGCCGTGCTACTACATGACCCAGTACGTGGCCACCCGATGGTACCGGGCCCCAGAGATCCTACTGTCCCTGGTGGAGTATGGAACTGCTGTCGACATGTGGTCCGTTGGATGTATCTTCGCAGAGATGCTGGGCCGAAAACATCTGTTTCCAGGTGAGTTGAGCAGCGTCCGTAACCTGTGTTTAGCAGGGTGAGTGAAATGTACAAATGTAGATTTTTGTGTCCCTTTGGCACTTTGGATTTCTAGTAATGAACATGATGAACCATACCCAGAAGTATCATTTCGGCTATCATGTCTAATTGTATACATGGTAGCCTGTACTATATGTTCCTGTCTAATATTTTATGCACTGCATGCTGTAGTGAATGTTCCTGTGTGTTATTATCCATCCCCCTGGCATGTAATGTGAATGCGTGCGTACGTGCGTGCATGTTTTGTCGTCAATGCCTCGTCTGACTGTCCATAATTATTTCGTTTCCGGAGTATAGCTTAGTAACCATTCAATATTTTTCAGCAGAAATTGTTATATATATCAAATAGAACCTAAAGTGGTGCTTTTTGCTATTTACACGATTTTTTGTCATTTTTATTCTACACAGTTTCCATGGAAACTATTTGGACTTAGTCTCAAAAAGGAGGGGTGGGCTTTGTTTCCGGAGCACAACTCAAAAACCCTTCAAGATCTTTCAACAGAACTTGGCAGATATATGAGGCAGATCTTGAAGTGGTGCCTTTTGCTATTTACAGATTTTTGGCATTTATATTTTTCATGATTTCCATGGAAACAATTTGGACTTAGTCTCAAAATATCAAGTTCGACTTTAAGTAACTGTCAGATGATTTGTTCTTTCAAATTTGTGTTCTTGTGTGTTATTCTATACACTGCATGTTGTAGTGAATGTTCTTGTGTGTTTTCTATACACTGTATGTTGTAGTGAATGTTCTTGTGTGTTTTATTCTATGCACTGCATGCTGTAGTGAATGTTCTTGTGTTTTATTCTATACACTGCATGTTGTAGTGAATGTTCTTGTGTGTTATTCTATACACTGCATGCTGTAGTGAATGTTCTTGTGTTGTAGTGAATGTTCTTGTGTTTTATGTGTGTATACACTGCATGTTGTTGTAGTGAATGTTCTTGTGTGTTATTCTATACACTGCATGTTGTAGTGAATGTTCTTGTGTGTTATTCTATACACTGTATGTTGTAGTGAATGTTCTTGTGTTTTTATTCTTGTTGTGTGTTCTTCTATACACTGCTTGTAGTGAATGTTCTTGTGTGTTATTCTATACACTGCATGTTGTAGTGAATGTTCTTGTGTTTTATTCTATACACTGCATGCTGTAGTGAATGTTCTTGTGTTTTATTCTATACACTGCATGCTGTAGTGAATGTTCTTGTGTGTTATTCTATACACTGTATGTTGTAGTGAATGTTCTTGTGTGTTATTCTATACACTGCATGCTGTAGTGAATGTTCTTGTGTGTTATTCTATACACTGCATGTTGTAGTGAATGTTCTTGTGTTTTATTCTAATGTTCTTGTGTGTTCTATTCTATACACTGCATGTTGTAGTGAATGTTCTTGTGTGTTATTCTATACACTATGTTGTAGTGAATGTTCTTGTGTGTTATTCTATACACTGCATGAATTTCTTGTGTGTGATACACTGCATGTTCTTGAATGTTCTTGTGTTTATTCTATACACTGCATGCTGTAGTGAATGTTCTTGTGTGTTATTCTATACACTGCATGCTGTAGTGAATGTTCTTGTGTTTTATTCTATACACTGCATGCTGTAGTGAATGTTCCTGTGTGTGATTCTATACACTGCATGCTGTGTGTTTCAGGGAAGGACTATATCTCCCAGATCAAGTTGATTGTGGGTGTGCTGGGCTCCCCTTCGGAGGCAGTCCTCAAGAATTGCCAGAATGACCACATTAAGAGGATCATGAAAGGTAATGAGGCCAAATACCAAGATGACATGGGTGTTTGTATGTAATGGGATGATATAGGGCAGTCCAGTCATCATCTAAGGCTCCATGATGTAGAGCTGCGTAATGCCTAGATACTTGATCATAAGTCCATATTTGCCTGGTTTTGTACAATATGCTGACATGGTATCCATTTGGATTTGCACTGTACTAAGATTCCAGTTACCAAGGCTGTGTGCTGTGTGCATTTCCTTGTTTAAGGACTTCATCTATTTATCTATTTTTACTTTGTGTGCTGCAGCTCTGGGTCACAGACAGGCAGTGCCATGGAAGACGCTGTTCCCCAAGGCCAGCAAGAAGGCCATTGACCTGTTGAGCAAGATGCTGACCATCAACCCAGCGGAACGAGTCACTGTACAGAAAGCTCTGGATCACCACTACCTCTCAAAGTACCATGATCCAGACGATGAACCAATTTGTGTGCCAACATTTAACTTTGACTTTGAGAAAAAGGTAAGTTCATTCAAAATTAAAGTTTGAGATATGTGTATGTATATATATTTATATTCTCCATTCTTCTGCCATTAAACATAATTGTTAAAGTTTGGATATTACAGTTGTTTGCTACCCCTGTGTAGCATGTTCAGTCAGTCAAGAATCTCTGAGTATGTTCTGGTTGTGTGGTTTAGGACATGAGCAAGGATGACTTGAAGGAGGTGATATACAAGGAGATCATGGACTTCCATCAGCCAAAGACACCCACTCTCAGTTTCAATGCTGTGCTCAGACCAGCCCCTAAACCAGAGTCCCCACAAGAGACAGAAGTTGTCAAAGGGGACTCTGAACATCTGGATGACCTTTTGAAGGCCCTGCAACAACAGCAGCAGCAACATCAGCAGCAGCAGCAGACGAAAGCCGACAAACATGGTGACATGAAGGAGGCAGAAGGCACACACACAGTCAAACAGGAAGATGAGGTGTTCAAGAAACCAGTTCAACAGAGAAGCTCCTTTGTTACTGTGGACACTAATGCCCTGGTGCCCCCACACTCTGTGGATATAGAGATGCTCAGTGCCAAGTCCACTGACGGAAAACAGGAGATGGACATGATGCCTGTGATCAAAGCTGAGGTCAAGGTGGAAGACGGTAAACAGCAGCCACAAACAAAACAGCAACATGTAGAAATCAAAACAATCTCATCGGACACTAAAGCCTTAGTAAAGCAGGCCCTGCTGAATGCCAGCCAACGCAGACAGAGAACAGGTTAGTCTTGGAGGAGGAGGTGATGTGAAATTTGTTTTAACGTTGTGCTTGAGAATATTTCGCTCATATGACGACGTGCATGCGTGGGTATGTGTATGTTCGGCTGCTTGTACTAGCCCAGACTGAAGCTGGTTTTATAGTGCTTGCCCACTGAGATACCATGCCGCAGTGAAGCAAGAATACCCCACTCAGACACATTATAATGACTCCGAGTAGACCAGTCCTTGTTGTACCCATTAATGCCGAACGCCAGGCAGGGACCAACAAGTACCATATTTTAATGTCTTTTGGTATGACGCGGTCGGGGATTGAACCTGCGACCTTCCGCTCTCCGGGCGGACCATGGATGTTGCCTGGAATGAAGCTACATGATCTAAAGTATCAGCTATTCCAAAGATTGCTACATATCTGAACTATCATTCATTTTGCACACCTTAATGAAAATGTTTGAGACAAGTGATTTTGATCCCCCCGGCATGTAATGCGAGGGATATTGTCGACGCCTTGTCCGTCCATCTGTCCGTCCGTAATCATTTTGTTTCCGGAACATAACTCAAAAACCGTTCAATATTTTTCAACAAAAATTAGTGTATATATCAAACAGAACCTAAAGTGGTGCCTTTTGCTATTTACAGATTTTTGTCATTTAAATTTTTCCCGGTTTCCATGGAAATGATTCGGACTTAGTCTCAAAAGGGAGGGGTGGGCTTTGTTTCCGGAGCACAACTCAAAAACACTTCAACATCTTTCAACAGAACTTAGCAGATATATGAGGCAGCTCTTGAAGTGGTGCCTTTTACGATTTACAGATTTTTGGCATTTATATTTTTCATGATTTCCATGGAAACAATTTGGGCTGATTCTAAAAGAAAATCAAGCTGGACTTAAAGTTACTGTCAGATGATTTGTTCTTTCAAATGTGTGGGGGCCGGGGGGATATGTCATCTTCTGATGACTCTTGTTTATAATATGTCAGGACAAACAGAGATGTGATATTGTCACTTCTATCATTACAACTACATCACTAATTGAGATGTGATATTGTCACTTCTATCATTACGACTACATCACTAATTGAGATGTGATATTGTCACTTCTATCATTACGACTACATCACTAATTGAAATGAAGGATGTGATGAGCACAAGTGAAATGCCTCATCATATCTGTGTTCCAGACTCCAACAGTGAGGACCCGGAGGGAAGGCGGGTCGTGACTGCTGCTCAGCGACAGAAGGAAAGAGAAGATAGGAGGAAGAAGAAGAGAGAGAGAGCAAATGAACGAGTCAGAAGACAGAAAGAGAAACAAAGTAAGTCATTTGATCAGCTGACTGTTTGCTGTGAATAAGAAAATCAGCCTTTCGTAAATATTGTATGAAAAGTCTGAAAGCCCAAACCACAAGGCAAACGATGTTACTGTCAGGGCCGACACATATGTGAGTGGATAACTTGGAGGTCAACATATCTGTAGTGAAGGATGTAAGATGGCTCTGGTAATATGATATCTGGACATAAAAAGTGTTCAGTGTACCCACCTGGCCTGATGATTTAATTGGTCTGTTTCATAAATATTGTTTATTTAATATTGTTTACCGCAGTGCAGTACTTTTGGCAAATCATGTGTTAAAGTACCGGGGTATTAGTAAATTGCACCCACCCACCACTATATACAGCAACAGACATGTTGACAGTGTCAAGGAATGTGTGACAATCAGAGAGTGGATACATATATGATAAATGTGCTTTGACTTCTAATGAGGCACGATGTTATTTGACCACTGTATATCTCTACAATGATTCTGTGATACAAACAACACTGCTGTGTGATTCTTAGTGTCCCGAACACTGATCTCAAATGGTGATTCATCAGACAGCTCCATACCTTAAAAAAACACATAAGATTGGTATCAAAATACTTTTCTTTATCAATGGTAGATCACACTGCTTTACTGCCTATTTTATGGGACAATTACGTGAGATAATCCCTGGGTAGGAAAAACTGACAAATATAACAGTAAATTCAATTTGAATTAGACGTCGAAATATTACCATTTTGACCTCTGATTAAATGGCAAAATCAAATCATTATACAATGATGTACTTAAGCATTTGTTTTGCATGTTTAACTTTATTTGGGCATCAAATGTGTTCTGAAGTCTACCAGAACAAGTGAATAGGTTTCCTCATAACAATACAATATGATAAAACCACTTGGTTCTGAGTGAATATCTAGTTGTCCCAAACATTTTATTGGGTCAAATGAAATCATTAATGTGATCATGGTGCTTCATCATTGACAGTTCTGTAACATTGCTGCTTACATTATCATAAACATTCCTTATCAGTCACAGCTGCTGTTGCAGCTATGTATATCATCATTATTAATGAAACCATCCCTCCTATACTACTCACTTTGATAGGGATCACAAAAAATCACAAATTTACTTAAACGTAGATTTAGTATATGAAATTGTATCCATTTAAAACTGGATGAATAATAATATAGTAACCCCTCTTTAGGCAGACAGCCATTTATTCTAACCTTATGCACTTGATACATGAGTATCCATAAAAATGGTTTTCATGGCACCAATCAACCATTTTGCAAATCATGGAACGAGTCATTGACAAATAAACAACACCTGTCAATAGCGGGTATGGGATCCATAAGATGCAATGACATACTGAAACCTAGGAACCATGCTTACAATAAGCTTAGATATTTAAACCAAATTTGACCCCACATCATAGTTTTCTGTTGAATCCATGATTTGATCCTTAGCAAAGTGTGAATAGTATATGTTGAATGAAATGTGCTAAAAGATTACAACATTCATATTATCACATTTCAACAGATCAGAATCTGCTGTCTAATGAAGACAAGGAGCTTCTGAAGAGATGGGCAGGGATGCAGAAGATAGCGCCAGCCCCTGTAGGTCAACTCGGAGGGTCCCAGGTGAAGAACCCCACGGTCACTCACAGCCTTGCTGTCAGTCTTCAGGGTAACAGCCTGACACTGACGCCTATGACCCAGCCGCCTCAGCAGCCACCTCCCCTACAGACACTACAGGTGCAGGCTGCCTCGTCTGCCAACCAGGTACAGACTGGAGTACAAGCTGCAATACAGCAGATGCAGACTGTGCAGCTGCAAGGGGGGACAGGTTTCCACCCTGCAGATACAAGGACCCCAGACTGTACAGATGGTTCCCACTCTAGCAACAAGTACAGTGCCTTCCCATCAGCCAGCAGTCATCTCCAACACTGATGGCAAGTCTCATGTTGGAACACCAAGCCATGGACAGAGTGGTGAGACTGTACATCCAGTGAACACACAGTCAACACCTTCTCAGCATGTCCACCAGACACTGCCTTCGGGCTCTATTGCTCTACAGCAAGACACCATGTCTCATCCTGCAGCACCACTGGACAACACGCAGCTACAGGTGGACATCAACCACATGCATTCCTTACTGACAGCAGCAGCAGACGCGAGCACAAGCACTGGATGCATGTTTCAGTCAACAGGAGACACTCCACCTACAGGATTCTCAGTGCCAAATGTGAATGTCAGCAGCCAAACCACTCTACCCTCTCAGGTACAACAGTTTATCAATCCCATTGCATCCCATCCTGTCATGCAGAAAGATGTGCTGGATGCTCCGTGCCTCAGCCACAATAATACTGCACATGGCCAGTACTGCCATGACAACACACCAGTGCCAGTATCGACTCTCAACTCCAACATTTCCCAGTCAAGTAATACAGTGAACAGTCCTGCTTTCTCCACCATCACTTTAGATGGCCTGGACTTTTTCAACAACATGGGACTTGAAAGTGATAACCAACAACCACCCACAGTCCAGACAAGTCTTGACTTCCAACCATACCCAGACCAGCTCCCAGAATCTCGAACATCCCCAGCAAAGAGACGCAGCCTTGACACCACTTCCGGGTATCAGTCTGGTCCCACATTTGCAGGGGAGGGCGGTGCTATGGTGCATTCTAATAGTGCACCACAATTCACACAGATGAGTTCAAGCAGTGGCTCACCTGAACATACGCCGTATGTCGGGCAGTCCTCTTTCACAAATCAATCAGTTCCATTCTCCAGTTACCATACCGAACAAAGTGGTACAAATCAAGTTTTCTCTGGGAAAGAAGTGGGTGTTAATCTCCTTGGTAAGACAAGTCCTGACCAGGCCAGTGGCGTGAGCAGCAGGAACACTTCCTCCCTGAAGATCAAGTGTAACTCCCCTCCTCAAGCACATGCTCAGCCAGACCTGATTGCCCTGCTAAGTAAACAGCTGTCCAAATCTCAAGTGGAAGACATCTTCCCACCCTCTCTGTCACTCACCCCTAAAGGAACTGGTGGTGGATATGGGGTGGGGGCCGATCTGGATGCACTCATGGTTGATGCTGAGAGGTAAGTAACTGGATGACATGGTAAAGCAGGCTAAGTAAACTTAGCCTCAGTGTCATTGGTTACACTGCTAGCTAATCTTTTGAATTGACCAATCAGAACACAGCTTACCAAAGTTAACATTCGCACATTCCGTTTGAACTTTTACCTCGAAAACGTTTGTACTCAAACGATTCCGAATGCTATTTTCCGCACGATTGCTTCCGAATGATACACATGGAGAACGCCATTATTCACAACAGTGAGTAAAGAGTCGCAGAAAATAGCATTTTAGTCAATATTCCAGGATGTCATCTTGCGGAAATATAATCTAATAGTAACCATGTCATCAGAAACCCCAAAACGTATATAATGCAGGTCAAATATCTGTGTTTTATGCAAATTTTCGTTTGTTGAGAGATCAGTGTCAGCGACCGGTTGAAGAGAAAATTTGAAAAGGTCCCGCTGAACCCTAAATAGTAGCCGTTGTCTATTGGTTAAATCCATTCGGTCGTCTTACGTTTGATTGGACGGTCATAGGTCGTTCAAAGGTTAGCTAACACGACCTCCTATAGTGTTTGTTAGACTCAGTATAGCAGTGTAACGAATAATACTGAGCCTAAGTTTTCTTAGACTGCATGGTAAAGGTACTTTGCGTCCGCTTTCCTTCATCACAGTAATCCATTTTAAGAAGTTAATGTCCACGTTACATAACATTTGTTTGGTTGTAAACTGTATTGCTGAATTGATATGATCAGTTTCTGTTTCCTGTTCTAGTGCACGTTTGGAGCAAAGCCCGTTGTCCTCTTCCCTCCTAGCTGACTGGATGGACCTTCGGGGCAACATCTCCCAGGCAGACCTGGAGGCTCTGGAACATGAACTGGGACTACCATCCCCCATGGCGGTGTCGTACAGTGATGTCAGTCTCAATCACACGGAGCAGAGGTTCTAGGCCCAATCACACAGAGCAGTGGTTCTAAACACAACCACTCTATGCACAATACATATGAGGGAATGGATAGTTAATGGATAGTTGATGGATGTTCTGGAGGGAATGGTTGTCATAGATACAGAAAGAAGCATATTGTATTTTAGATGCAGGAAAGAATCAGAAACATTCAGGACAAACTCTCTATTCATTTGCAGAACCTGTCTCCTTCTATCACAACTATTGCTTAGCTGAAACAGTATATTTTCTTACGAACAAATCAAGATTCGAAGTCATTCTACTATTGCAGCTGCATCTGAATATATCAGATGGTATGAACAGTTCCTATTGGGCGTCCATTTTTTACGCAGATATTAAGACTAGCATACAGTTGGACGGACCATCCGTAAGTGTATCCACAGTAGCCCTTACGCAAATTATTTCACTATTGGGAAAGATAGTTGTTACAGTGAATACCATGCTGTGTTGACAGGCATCAGTACACGCAGGGTATTGTTGATGTGTATCTACCATGTGTTAACACTGTCCCCCCTGCGAGTGTCTGGCTTCAATAAAGTGTAATGTAATGTCTGCTGGTAGTTTCATGTTGACCTGGTGTGACAGACTCCCAGGCCTGATGCAGCGTTTTGATCTCATGGCTCTCAAGTATCATACCTGATGTACCAGACTGACTTGACGTGTCACACCTGGTATGTCAGACCCCCTGAACTGATGAGCGCATTGACCTGAACTGTCAAACTCAAGTATCATACCTGATGTACCAGACTGACTTGACGTGTCACACCTGGTATGTCAGACCCCCTGAACTGATGAGCGCATTGACCTGAACTGTCAAACTCAAGTATCATACCTGATGTACCAGACTGACTTGACGTGTCACACCTGGTATGTCAGACCCCCTGAACTGATGAGCGCATTGACCTGAACTGTCAAACTCAAGTATCATACCTGATGTACCAGACTGACTTGACGTGTCACACCTGGTATGTCAGACCCCTGAACTGATGGCGCATTGACCTGAACTGTCAAACCAAGTATCATACCTGATGTACAGACTGACTTGGCGTGACACCTGTCAGACCCCCTGAACTGATGAGCATTGACCTGAACTGTCAAACTCAAGTATCATACCTGATGTACCAGACTGACTGGACGTGTCACACCTGGTATGTCAGACCCCCTGAACTGAACTGATGTCAAACTCAAGCGCATTGACCTGAACTGTCATTGAAACTCAAGTATCATACCTGATGTACCAGACTGACTTGACACCTGGTATGTCAGACCCCTGAACTGATGAGCGCATTGACCTGAACTGTCAAACTCAAGTATCATACCTGATGTACCAGACTGACTTGGCGTGTCACACCTGGTATGTCAGACCCCCTGAACTGATGGCGCGTGACCTGAACTGTCAAACTCAAGTATCATACCTGATGTACCAGACTGACTGGACGTGTCACACCTGGTATGTCAGACCCCTGAACTGATGGCGCGATTGACCTGAACTGTCAAACTCAAGTATCATACCTGATGTACCAGACTGACTTGACGTGTCACACCTGGTATGTCAGACCCCTGAACTGATGGCGCATTGACCTGAACTGTCAAACTCAAGTATCATACCTGATGTACCAGACTGACTGGACGTGTCACACCTGGTATGTCAGACCCCTGAACTGATGGCGCATTGACCTGAACTGTCAAACTCAAGTATCATACCTGATGTACCAGACTGACTTGGCGTGTCACACCTGGTATGTCAGACCCTGAACTGATGGCGCATTGACCTGAACTGTCAAACTCAAGTATCATACCTGATGTACCAGACTGACTTGGCGTGTCACACCTGGTATGTCAGACCCTGAACTGATGAGCGCATTGACCTGAACTGTCAAACTCAAGTATCATACCTGATGTACCAGACTGACTTGGCGTGTCACACCTGGTATGTCAGACCCTGAACTGATGAGCGCATTGACCTGAACTGTCAAACTCAAGTATCATACCTGATGTACCAGACTGACTTGGCGTGTCACACCTGGTATGTCAGACCCCTGAACTGATGAGCGCATTGACCTGAACTGTCAAACTCAAGTATCATACCTGATGTACCAGACTGACTTGACGTGTCACGCGGTCACACCTGGTATGTCAGACCCTGAACTGATGAGTTGATTGAGTCACACCTGGTATGTCAGACCCCTGAACTGATGAGCGCATTGACCTGAACTGTCAAACTCAAGTATCATACCTGATGTACCAGACTGACTTGACGTGTCACACCTGGTATGTCAGACCCCCTGAACTGATGAGCGCATTGACCTGAACTGTCAAACTCAAGTATCATACCTGATGTACCAGACTGACTTGACGTGTCACACCTGGTATGTCAGACCCCCTGAACTGATGAGCGCATTGACCTGAACTGTCAAACTCAAGTATCATACCTGATGTACCAGACTGACTTGACGTGTCACACCTGGTATGTCAGACCCCCTGAACTGATGAGCGCATTGACCTGAACTGTCAAACTCAAGTATCATACCTGATGTACCAGACTGACTTGACGTGTCACACCTGGTATGTCAGACCCCCTGAACTGATGAGCGCATTGACCTGAACTGTCAAACTCAAGTATCATACCTGATGTACCAGACTGACTTGACGTGTCACACCTGGTATGTCAGACCCCTGAACTGATGGCGCATTGACCTGAACTGTCAAACTCAAGTATCATACCTGATGTACCAGACTGACTGGGCGTGTCACACCTGGTATGTCAGACCCCTGAACTGATGGCGCGTGACCTGAACTGTCAAACTCAAGTATCATACCTGATGTACCAGACTGACTTGACGTGTCACACCTGGTATGTCAGACCCCTGAACTGATGAGCGCATTGACCTGAACTGTCAAACTCAAGTATCATACCTGATGTACCAGACTGACTTGGCGTGTCACACCTGGTATGTCAGACCCCTGAACTGATGGCGCATTGACCTGAACTGTCAAACTCAAGTATCATACCTGATGTACCAGACTGACTTGACGTGTCACCCTGGTATGTCAGACCCCTGAACTGATGAGCGCATTGACCTGAACTGTCAAACTCAAGTATCATACCTGATGTACCAGACTGACTTGGCGGTGTCACACCTGGTATGTCAGACCCCTGAACTGATGAGCGCATTGACCTGAACTGTCAAACTCAAGTATCATACCTGATGTACCAGACTGACTTGGCGTGTCACACCTGGTATGTCAGACCCTGAACTGATGAGCCGCATTGACCTGAACTGTCAAACTCAAGTATCATACCTGATGTACCAGACTGACTTGACGTGTCACACCTGGTATGTCAGACCCCCTGAACTGATGAGCGCATTGACCTGAACTGTCAAACTCAAGTATCATACCTGATGTACCAGACTGACTGGACGTGTCACACCTGGTATGTCAGACCCCCTGAACTGATGAGCCTCAAGTATCATACCTGATGTACCAGACTGACTGGCGTGTCACACCTGGTATGTCAGACCCCTGAACTGATGACCTGAACTGTCAAACTCAAGTATCATACCTGATGTACCAGACTGACTGGACGTGTCACACCTGGTATGTCAGACCCTGAACTGATGAGCGCATTGACCTGAACTGTCAAACTCAAGTATCATACCTGATGTACCAGACTGACTGGACGTGTCACAGACCCTGAACTGATGAGCATTGACCTGAACTGTCAAACTCAAGTATCATACCTGATGTACCAGACTGACTGGACGTGTCACACCTGGTATGTCAGACCCCCTGAACTGATGACGTTGACCTGAACTGTCAAACTCAAGTATCATACCTGATGTACCAGACTGACTGGGCGTGTCACACCTGGTATGTCAGACCCTGAACTGATGAGCGCGTTGACCTGAACTGTCAAACTCAAGTATCATACCTGATGTACCAGACTGACTGGACGTGTCACACCTGGTATGTCAGACCCCCTGAACTGATGAGCGCATTGACCTGAACTGTCAAACTCAAGTATCATACCTGATGTACCAGACTGACTGGACGTGTCACACCTGGTATGTCAGACCCCCTGAACTGATGAGCGCATTGACCTGAACTGTCAAACTCAAGTATCATACCTGATGTACCAGACTGACTTGACGTGTCACACCTGGTATGTCAGACCCCCTGAACTGATGAGCGCATTGACCTGAACTGTCAAACTCAAGTATCATACCTGATGTACCAGACTGACTGGACGTGTCACACCTGGTATGTCAGACCCCCTGAACTGATGAGCGCATTGACCTGAACTGTCAAACTCAAGTATCATACCTGATGTACCAGACTGACTTGACGTGTCACACCTGGTATGTCAGACCCCCTGAACTGATGAGCGCATTGACCTGAACTGTCAAACTCAAGTATCATACCTGATGTACCAGACTGACTTGACGTGTCACACCTGGTATGTCAGACCCCCTGAACTGATGAGCGCATTGACCTGAACTGTCAAACTCAAGTATCATACCTGATGTACCAGACTGACTTGACGTGTCACACCTGGTATGTCAGACCCCCTGAACTGATGAGCGCATTGACCTGAACTGTCAAACTCATGGATAGGAAGAAGCAGAGGTTACCTAACTTATCAGTAGTCGTTTGAGATGACTTGATAAATAATAGCTGATGTGTGTTGGAGACAAATGTCCTCCTAAGTACTTGCACCATGTAACTAAAGACGTCATGGACTGACGGGTTGAATGCAGTAAAATGGCCTAGACATTGTAAAAAGCTGGTCTTTATTGTCTGCCTTTTCTCTCCCCACTGAAGTTAACAATAATAATAACTGGCCACTTATATAGCGCTGAACTCCACGCAGGGACATACATTTCCCCATGTGCAAAGCCTGAGCCCTCCCTTACTGTTGATTTACAGAGTCGTGATATTATCTGTTAGAACAATTGCAATTGGTCCATGTAGGCAGTTTCAGGGCCTCGATATCAGTGCATTGACATAAGTCCCATACACTGACAAGCGATAGTCGTAGCGAATTCGCGTAGCCGGGTATACATCACACAGTGCCGGAATCCTGGCAATAAACAGCAACAAGTGATTGGAGCAGGTCCAGCAGTTCCAAACTTCTGATCACAGTGTAACACGTGGTCCTTGTACCGCGGACACTTCCTGACGACTGACTATATAAACTCTTCAACAAGTGGTCCGTGCATGTCCGACACTGTTCCTGACGTCTGACGATATTTACATTGTAACAAACAATTGGTTCGTGGACACTGACAATATGCAGCACGTGTACGTCTGGACGCCCCAACACGTGACACTCACTGCGATAGGTGTTTGCCGAGGTACAGATGGTAGTTGAGGTATATGAGCGCAGCGTTGATAACGTATGTGGCAATACAGACGATGCAGATATCACGCAGTACAAAGAAGAGGATGAAGGCGAGGTACACACAACCGAGCCCCGCGACCACCGAGGTGTAGTACAGAACATACGACCACAGCACTTGGTTGGGCAGGAACGCTGGAATATACAACATACTATTGCATATACCCGAACCTCCTCACCAAAATCACGGATTTCCCTGATCTTTACAGACAAGTATAGGGATATGAGATTTGAAACGTATATTTCTAATCCTTCTAAACACTCCACGAGCTTATTTCAATGGTTCTCTGGATACAATATAAAAGATCTAACGCTAAAGCTGTTGAGTGGAATTATTGTTTTTAAAGGCATCGGCTTTTTCGATACAGTACATAATAAACATAATCTTTCACCAAATAATAGATTGTTCTCTTGTACAATTACAACTGGGGCATATACAAAATAATGGACAATGCTTACAGAAAAAATGAAAGTGTGTTTCATTTAAGTTCAATATACAGAAATGAAATAAACACAATTGTATTTGATGGAAAGCTGGTGGTATGTAATTTCCTTGGTCATTTTTTATGGATGGTTGGAATTTTCTGAATTTGAGGTTGTTACTGAGGGCTTTGATTTTGTCCCATGGATGTAGTGGTCAGAGGTTGTCACGGATATGGTCTCATAGAGCTGAATTGGAGCCTGGTTTAAACGCTGAGACTAAAACCATCCATCAGCCGTGAACACTTCTATTACATACCCCTAGCTTAAGATCAACTCATCAAAAGACTACAGTCGGAGGCAACATAACATTGCTTTCCTGCCATGGTTGGCTGCTTCTATAGATCTCTCACTTCACGTGGCTTGGGTTTGATGGTGACACGCCTACGACAGGACCAGAACCTCGGGCAATCTAAAGCAGGTATGACACAACTTTCCTGGGACAAGCTATGCCAAATAAGACACACCTCACATAGGGCAATCTATGGCAGGTAAGACATGCAACTCCGCTACAATCTATGACAGGGAGCACAACTCAACTGGGACAATCAATGATTCACCAAGGACAAAATGTAACAGGTAAAAATCACTCACCTAGAGCTAACTGTGACCGGTAACACAGCTCAATTGGTACAGTCTCTAACAGGTAGGACACGCCTCACTGACAATCTGTGACAGGTAGCCCTACTCACCTAAGGCAATCTGTGACAGGTAGCCCTACTCGCCTAAGACAATCTGTGAACGGTAGCCCTACTCGCCTAAGACATTCTGTGACAGGTAGCCCTACTCACCTAAGACAATCTGTGACAGGTAGCCCTACTCGCCTAAGACAATCTGTGACAGGTAACCCTACTGGCTTCAGACAATCTGTGACAGGTTGCCCTACTCAGCTGAGACAATCTGTGACAGGTAGCCCTACTCGCCTCAGATAATCTGTTACAGGTAGCCCTACTCAGCTAAGACAATCTGTGACAGGTAGCCCTACTCAGCTAAGACAATCTGTGACAGGTAGCCCTACTCAGCTAAGACAATCTGTGACAGGTAGCCCTACTCGCCTAAGACAATCTGTGAACGGTAGCCCTACTCGCCTAAGACATTCTGTGACAGGTAGCCCTACTCACCTAAGACAATCTGTGACAGGTAGCCCTACTCAGCTAAGACAATCTGTGACAGGTAGCCCTACTCACCTAAGACAATCTGTGACAGGTAGCCCTACTCACCTAAGACAATCTGTGACACGTAGAACAGGATTCCGAGAGTGCAGTTCCGTTGATTCAGGAAGTGATCTTTGCCCACCAGTAAACTTACTATTCCGAATCCTTTGCCGTACCTGCCAATTCCATACAACAAAGATATCTGTATCTCTGATTTATACTCCTGGTGACATTCGTCTGAGAACAAACTAATCACATATATATATTTACCCCCACAAATTCCAGTGTTTTGTCATTGTAAAGATCGATTTTCCACAGACAAGATTATACAAAACCTAGCCTGACTAGTGTCTGAAACTAATTTTCAATCTGAAAATACATCAGACAAGTATGGCTGTTCCAATACAATATACACATGTTCCTATACAATATACACATATACAAACATACTCAACGTACAGTATGTAGTCGACAGTTCAAAGCGAAAATTGTTTCATATTAAATGGTCATATTGCTTCCGGCATTGAACTGTGGAAGTAACAGTGTAAATCGTACTTAGATATATGCTTGGATAGAACTTTAACCCTGATATTCGGTGTGGAAGCAGTACAAAAATTACAGCACGCGACCATTTGATGCGCCACATATTGCAAACAGGACTACAGAGGACACCATGGAAAAGGGGAAGGTCATGAGAGAATCATATCCTGTGTCTCCACCATTAGTGTCGAGCACTGCAGGTATTGCACCTCCATGCCTGTGGACAGATCACAGGTTTGTTCAGGTCAGCCCGACGGCCTGTGGATGGAGTAAAAGTACAGATCACAGGTTTGTTCAGGTCAGCCCGACGGCCTGTGGATGGAGTAAAAGTACAGATCACAGGTTCGTTCAGGTCAGCCCGACGGCCTGTGGATGGGGTTAAAGTACAGATCACAGGTTTGTTCAGGTCAGCCCGACGGCCTGTGGATGGAGTAAAAGTACAGATCACAGGTTTGTTCAGGTCAGCCCGACGGCCTGTGGATGGAGTAAAAGTACAGATCACAGGTTTGTTCAGGTCAGCCCGACGGCCTGGGGATGGAGTAAAGTACAGATCACAGGCTCGTTCAGGTCAGCCCGACGGCCTGTGGATGGAGTAAAAGTACAGATCACAGGTTTGTTCAGGTCAGCCCGACGGCCTGTGGATGGGGTAAAGTACAGATCACAGGTTTGTTCAGGTCAGCCCGACGGCCTGGGGTGCAAGCGCAAGCTGTTACGATCATCTTTGTAGTATTGTGAGGTTCAGTCTACAATAAAGTCATTGGATTTATGTGGATAATCATATAGAAAAATAGAAATAGGTATTAAAATTCTAAAAATAAATTGCAGTACAGCTATACATATATATGTTACTCATATTTTTCACCGGGAGTGTAAGATAATCTATGCAGGAAGACAGGTAAATGCTATGAATTTTGAGAAACTGTTTCCTATTTTCGTTCACACCTTCATACCTGTTTGGAATATGTATATCAATATGTGCCTGTGGCTTCATACATAATAAAGATTTTGTAGATGATGATATTTGTAATATGATATCAGTTTGTTCAATGTAACAATAATTAAAAAACCTAGGTGTTGTCATAACACTCTTTTATCCAAACAACTAAGCAATTACTCAGCATCTGAAAAGTTCTCTAATATGTGCATTTATCCTCTTTTCTTTATATAAATCAAAGTAATTGTGATTGTCATAATTTAGACATTTCAAATTCCTACAATGTTTTTTTTTACTTTCATAAAACCATAAAAGAGAAAGATGGTATTACTTTTCTCTGGATAAAGTTATTAAATGACCATTGAAACTCGTGAAAAGAGGTGACAATGAACTGTGCGACACACACACACACACACACACACACACACACACACACACACACACACACACACACACACACACTTCTCAAAAAGCTGTATCCGCCCCTATATTGTGTGTATCTAGTATACGTAATTACTCAGCAGGTGATAGTGTGTATTTGTAAGTACCAAAATGAAGCCGATTATCAAAAAAGAGTCATTGTTATAAAACCCTTTTTTCCAAACTCTGAAGGATGTCATAGTGGGATCCGATGGTTTATTCATCTGTAGTGTGTGATGGAATGAAATAGTCACCACAACTGTGTGACCTACATTGCAAGGTCATAACTCATGTCTCATCCCGGAGGTAATGGGGTGGTGAGTGCGTTCGCTCATACCGCTGAAAACATGGGTTCGATTCCCCACGTGGGTGTAATGTGTGAAGCCCATTTCTGGTGTAAACAACCGTCATATTGCTGAAATGTTGGTAAAGGCGGCATAAAACTATACTCACTCACTCATTGGTTCCCTTTGCTACCTGTAACACAGGAGGACTTTACAATGTTTTATGAATGCCATAGTAACGCATTCAGTCATGTTTACAGATGACGTTATCATGGTTATTATGGGAACAAATATGTCATCGCAGTAACGTTTGGCCGTTCAGCTACCTTGCACGTGAACCGTATTTACTGTGCCAGCAATGGACAAAAACAGTTGGTGATACTGGTTAGATTGTGTGACACCACTGACGTCGCAATTGACGACGTTTGCCAACACCTCCGACAGGATGTCTGTCTGAGACGTACCTGTGTTTGCCAACTGTCTGGCTACGAGATGATTCACTCTAGAGCTTGCTGCTGTTATACTGACGCTGTACACCTTGGCCTCACATGATCTAGTATCCCATATGCGTAGAACGACGCTCATTATGTGGAGCACTGGATTGTCGGATCCAGACTCGACTATTTACAGTCCGCTGCCATATAGCTGGAATATTGCTAAGTGTGGCGTTAAACAACAACAACACAAATAAATAAATAAACTAATAAATATACAGAATATATAGAAATAGTGCTCTGTCATATGTGAATACCCGGCTGCTGACAGACGATTCTGCCCGACGACGTAGCTCTTTGTGTTTCAGAAAGTAGTCGTGATATGAGTTCGCAGTTAAACAATCAACGTTTCTAATTCGAGAACATCACTGCTGCCAATGAACACTTTTATGGACTTGTTCAAGAAATTTTAGGCGCAAAATATGCTCGTTCATCGATCCCGTGACTATTCTGGTCTGTCACGCGTTATGTATTTGGACATTGCTACGTTTAGTGGATTCCAGGACTGACGGTATAGATTCTACCAAGTGGCATACCGTTTATGTACTGATGTCGTTTATGTATGGATATCAGTAAAACCTATCTGTTCTTTCTCTAAGAGTGTATGTTGTTTCCATACAGTAGCTGCTATACAAAATTGTCGTCATGAGGGAATGGGGTAATAGTTGCTAAAGACAATGTTTTAAAGCAAAACTATGGAAACCTTTTCATTACCTTTTCCTGTGTTTGAAATGAAGGTTTATTGTGTGTCTGTGGAAACGTCCATCACCATGTTCTTTACGGTATGTGCTGCACAACAAGTTATCACCTGTTTACGGTATGTGCTGTACAACAAGTTATCACCTGTTTACGGTATGTGCTGCACAACAAGTTATCACCTGCACCTAGATTTCCGAAGCTCTCCTAGTGTTAAGATGGTCGTATATACCATCCATTAACATTAACTTACGACTATCTTGGACAATCTAGGCCCAGGCCCGGCGTGGACAATGGAGTGTTACAGTAATGAGACATGGTGGAAGTTACTCACTGCGAACAGAGAGCTTTGGAGCAGCTGAACCTGTCGCTGAAGTCGCAGGCTGCCCTGTACTGCGGGTCTCTCTCCTTCCTCACCTCCACCCTGAGCGCGTACAGGGACACGCCCACCCCAGCACACTGAGGAGCACCCGGTCGGCCAGGTTGGACATCAGCAGCCACGACACACACATCATGCACCAGAATGTTGTAGATGACGCACCACGGAACCTAGACCTTGAGACAACATATGGATATTGTGTCAGTGTGTTAGGAAGCATTACTTCTCTTACTCGAATTTTGCCAAACATGAGTTTCCCGACTTTATGTCGTTCGCATTGCCAGCCTACACAAACCAAATACATGTACAACAAACGCTCTTACACAAGACTAGTATTTTGACGCATTGGCGGATCCAAAGGTGTGTGTGTGTGTGTGTGTGTGTGTGTGTGCGTGCGTGCGTGCGCGCGCTTTAACACACACACACCACACACCCTAACACCCACCCCCCACACAAACTCCTTTTGAAAATTCCTGGATCCGCCTATGTTGACAAGAGTGTCGTACTTAGTTTAATATCTTTCTGAAGAAAAACACAGAAACATGTGCTTCTAAATTGCCTTTTAAATATGTTGTTGATTTGGCTTTAATGAACATAGACACTAACGCAGGTACAGTCTGTGGGAATCTGGCGACTCCAGTAGTTCACGGGGTCAGTGTCCAGCTGACCACGGCCCTCCACTACCGGTGGATTAGTATGACAAGATGGTACAGAGAATGACAAGCTCTGTACGGCCCCTGACACACAATACACAGGTAATATGGCTGAGACAACGTGTAGATATGTAACGTGCATAGTCTTACCTTGAACAACGTGCCCTGTCGTCGCTGTGTGGTCCAGTGGATGTGAACTCCGTCAGGAAGGTGGCGGGGGCAGTGGGTGGTGGGTGTAATCGTTCATCTTTCAGAGCCGCGTCAGCAGCGGAACTCCATGTCAGTCTTCTAGCAGACGACAGAAACTCAACCAATCAAATCACGCCACTTTATCGACATTTGCAGAGAGTGGGAAGCCCGAGAGAAGAAGGCCACCAGCAGACGTTAATTCCACGTTGTGGGGCTTCCTAAACAGATCACAATCAATACAGCGCGGAGCAGGGAGGAAGGTGACATGAAAAGTGGGTTAAAATGTAGCAGTGAATGATTACCTAGATTGTCAAATGATTTGCTGATGTGTTATGCATATAGAGATTGCCCTGTCGCGGTGACAGGTAGAGATTAAATCGGTGTTGTTGTCATAACCAATAAAGAGCATTCGCTGACTTTCAACCCAAACTGAAGTGTCAGATATGTATTTATGAACTGTTTGTTCAATCGTTCTGTATATTATCTAATGACCTCAGTCGTAGTGTCAGTCGCCACGTATACATCACATGGTAGTGTTTTCGTTGCCACATAGTGTACCTACTAGTTATATCGATTATCACGTTCATTATCTAGTGGTCTTGTCAAACGTCACGTATATTAAATTGTTTTAATGTTTGTGTGTTGGTTAACAATGCATGTTTAACAGGTTATTTAACACGTTATCAAACTAGTCATCGAGCCTGGCCAATCGACTGTTACAACGTCGCCTCGCACAGTAGAATCTGGCACTGGTCACACTTCCACATTCCGTCCTGCTGGGAAAAGGGCAGTTTTAGTAGAATCGCCGTTTATCATACCGAGAACAACAACAGCTCGGAACAACATTACCTATAGTTCTAACGACTCAGTCACGAGCATCCTCTTGTACATCACCACTGTAGGCTGTGTCAACGACAACGTCATCAGCAAACGTCTTCCGGAATACCATTTTAGGCTGCTGCTGAAGCTCATCTAGGTCTCAAATAGTGAACACCATATTGTCTGGACGAAAGGTACAATTGCAGCCAAGAGCACTCTTCTCCAAACTGTATAAGGAATATAGGGTCATCTTCTCTGTTCATCACAGTCTGTTTACATCTGTATATATACACTTGAGTCGGTCGTTTCGGGTAGTTCAGGTACGACCTAGCTCGCATGTTGAACAACGCAAATGTGAGACAGTGTGACAGCTACCATAATCCAAGAACTGTCTCCGTAAACATGGCTTTCTAATTTCTGGTAATAAATATTAGATCTAGTTACATGCACACTGTACCTAAGGTGATGCTGGTAACGCACGTTACCAGCATCACAACATGGCGGCAGACAAGATCGCTTGGCGATTATTCCCCTCGAATTAGCAGTCTTCCACGTATATACAATCAACATTATTTAGCACACTGATAAACTTTGATGTTGTGAGTACATTGAATGCACTGAATTTGCTTACTAATGTCTATGTGTTGAAGAATAAGTATTCTAAAATCACGCAAGGATGTCGGTAACTCAAAGTCTGGATGTCGGTAACGTGCAATGAATGATGCTGGTAACTCATACTGTCCTGCTTTAGTCGGGAAACAGAAATTGTCGATACTAATGTCAGTTCTTATGTTTTACACAGATGTATACTGCTGCTACATTAACAGTATGGGCGACTTTTTCTGTGCACCGGAGAGTTGTTGCTTGACTTGAAGCAGGATGTGTTTAATCACACTAATTATGTGGCGTTTCATTGAACTTGAACGGATTTAGATGTGTGTGCCCAATGTCCATTAGTTGAGTTGAGTTGAGTTGGGCTTTACGTCACATCGGCATTATTCTAGGCATATTGTGACGATAACAAGTCTGCATTAGTAAATATTGTAAGTACAGAGTCAAAATGAATTTTATTTTAAAAACATATATTCATTACATTGTCATTTAAAAACAGAAAAAGTCATAGCACTAAATTTAAAGGCAGGAAATTTGTTAGTCACATTACACAGTTACAATTTATGATACAGATCAACTTCCCTCAGTTGGTTCACTATGAGATGAGCGCTCACGCGGGAGAACCGATCTTTCAGATTTGTTGCTTCATGATGTGAGTCCCTTGCAGACGATAAGTCCACACAGTCAAGCAGAATATGCTTGATGGTGAAAACCTCATCGCAAGAGACACACATGGGGGGTCCATCCCCATCCGTTTTCAGCAGATAGTCATAAGCAAACCGGATGGCCAATACGACATCGTCGTAAAATTACCTCATCACGTCTTGACTCACAACCCAAGTAAGTATAACCAATTGTTGGCTTCAATTCATACAGTTTATTTCTTCCTACTTGAGTGTCCCACCTTTTTTGCATGAGGTCCCGAGTATAGCTTTTGATAGTGGGTTTGAAATCACTGTACGGGATCAGCAGTGGAGATAAGGGCTTGTCAAGAGCTGTTTTTGCTGCAGCATCGGCTTTTGTGCTACCTGCTATGCCGACGTTCCCCGGCAACCAGCAGAGGACGATGTCGCATTGGCCAGTAGAGAGGTCGTTGTAAAGTTCTAAAATGTCCAGAATGATTGGGTGACTTGAAGTGACATTTTGAAGTGCTTGAAGGCAAGGTAATGAATCTGTGAAAACGATAAAGTTTTTGGAATGATTCTGCTGTGTAATATAGGTCAAAGCTGAAAAGATAGCTTTGGCCTCGGCAGTGAAAATGGAACTGTTGTCGGGAATCCTAGAGGAGACAGTCTTGGATCCAATGACTGTAGCACTGGCAACTTGGCCCTCATCCTTGGATCCGTCTGTGAAAATGGATCTATGGGTGTCATACTTGGAACGTAACTGGTTGTATTCCTGGTGGAACACCAAAGGATTTGTTTCGGACTTTTTGAGTTTAGTGAGGTCGTTGTAAAGTTCTAAAATGTCCAGAATGATTGGGTGACTTGAAGTGACATTATGAAGTGCTTGAAGGCAAGATAATGAATCTGTGAAAACGATAAAGTTTTTGGAATCATTGTCATACTTGGAACGTAACTGGTTGTATTCCTGGTGGAACACCAAAGGATTTGTTTCGGACTTTTTGAGTTTAGTTAGGGTAAGATCGACCTGTGGTTTCACCATCTGTCAGGGTGGTGAAGACAGGAGTCGGTAAGGTGCTATGATATTGAGATCAATTTTAGCTGCAGATATGTGTGGTTGAATTCTGATTCCAAGTGGTGGAACCAGGCTTGGCAGTTTAGGAAACAGGTTTCCATAGAGAGGGTTGAAAACACAATTGTATGCTGGATTGGACTGATTTGAACGTAATTTAGTGATATTTTGCAGTGAAAGTTTAATGCGGCGTTGTTCAAGGGAAGGTTCGTTAGCCTCTGCATATAGACTGTCTACCGGGGAGGTCCTAAAAGCTCCCAGGCAGAGCCTCAGGCCTTAGTGGTGGATAGAATCTAATTTTTCTAAATTGCTTTTTGGGGCTCCACCATAAACAATGGAGCCGTAGTCTAGTTTAGAGCAAACCAAAGATATGTACAAGTGAAGGAGGGTAGTCTGATCACCTCCCCACTCTGTATTTGAAACGACTTTTAGTAAGTCCAGAGCCTTCAAGCACTTGGTTTTCAAATATTTTATGTGTGGTAAGAATGTCAGGTGACGGTCGAATATGAGTCCCAGGAATTTAGCCTCTTCTACTACCTTGATAGGAGTACCATCTAAAGATAGGTCTGGATCCTTGTGTGGTTTGTATTTACGACAAAAGTGTTTGGGATTTGGATTTTGAAAACTTTTGGATTTTGTTAAGGGAGAGTTGTAGCTGCCTTTCTATTGCGTGCATGTTCTTACCACGACATGAAATATTGAAATCGTCCACGAAAAGGGACCCATCAACACAACTGTTCAAGACGTTAGTGAGGCTGTTAATTTTGATGCTAAAAAGGGTGACAGACAGGATGCTGCCTTGAGGGACGCCTTGATCTTGGTGGAAATAATCAGACAATGTGGAACCCACCCGTACTTGAAATTGTCTGTTGTTTAAAAACTGAGATATGAACTGAGGTAATCTGCCCCTCAATCCAAATTCATGTAAATCTTTTAAGATACCATGTTTCCACGTTGTATCGTATGCTTTTTCTAAATCGAAAAAGATAGATACAGTATGTTGTTTGTTGACAATGGACTTTTTGATAAAAGATTCCAGACGCACCAGATGGTCAATGGTACTTCGGTTTTTTCGGAAACCACATTGGGGGTCACTAAGGAGGTTATGGGTTTCCAAGTACCAGATTAATCGATTGTTGACCATGCGCTCCATGGTTTTACAAACACAGCTAGTTAGGGATATAGGACGGTAGTTTGAGGGATCAAT